GAATGTGAAGGAGACCCCTGACTATTGTTTGTGTTGTGTGTCATCACTGGACAAATAAATACACACACAGACAGACCCACACACACACACACACACACACACACACACACACACACCACGTGCACAGATATTAAACTCAGGGTCCTGTTCTTCATTGGTTTGGTATCTTTGCAGCAGTGACTCAAACCAGAAGACGTCAATCCCCTCCATGCACTCGTCATGAACAGAATAGTTACTGTAAAAAGCACAATGCTGCAAATATTCTGCCGTCTCCACCACCACTGAACCCATCACACTCCCAGAACTCTGGTTTCCAGCAGCCATTCCTGCACTCTGAGTGAAACACAATGTGTTAGTTGGTCTCTCAGTACTTTCTGTGACTTCCTGTGTGGTGCTTGCAGCTCCAAACCTGTTTGGTTCCTCCTGAAGACACAAATATACAGTTTTTATATATATAGTTAATATGTATGTATGTATGTATATGTAGAGGTTCCACAGTTCTTTCATCCCTGACGCTGTCAGACTCTACAACACCTGATAAATGTTGTAGTTTCTGTTTTTCAAATCACCACCATACCATAGCTTTACCTCTGTACCATAGTTTTTTTTTTTCTGTATTTATTTCACATAAAATGCTGCTGTGACAAGGGAATTTCCACGTTGTGGGATTAATGAAGTAATACAATAATTTCATATATAAACAGGCAGTTAGAGAGGAACCTGTTGCAGTAGCCAACAGCGCTGTGAGCTACGTCCCCCCAGTCCAGCAGCTGTAGTGGACCCATTAGCGGACTGTCAGACTGGGAGCTCCCAGTGAACAGCAAGTCCAGACCGGGACTGGATGCAGCATCTGATGCTGATGGAGGACAGTTTGAGGACAGTTTGAGGACAGGGAATAAAGGACTGAGGTTTCTGTACAGTAATCAGTGAGCTCCGGTAGCTAGCTATTATTGGTTGAAAACACAAAGAAATTTAGTTTTTTCAGTTTGTCATCCATTCTTAAATATGGGAACAATATAACTGAGGATCTGAAAGGGTTAAAATGACATTTTTCATTTAACTTGGAGTTTAAATAACTTATAAATCACTGTAACAATCATTATAATGATGTTTATATCATCTTTATTTTCTTATGTTGGTGTTATTTGCTGCAACAAACCACTTTTTTCTGCGTTCTGAACCCTGGTGATGCAGAGATGGTTTGGTGTGAATATAATGAACGGGGTGTTGAATGAGTTAACTGGCTTGCTGGGATATTGATGCATTTTCTCAGGCGGGAGTCCTGCGGTCGGAGATGATCTGGCTTTTTGTTGCAGCGAGCCGGCAGCTTGTCAGACATAAATAAACATCAGCAAACAGGATCAGCAAAAGACAAACACTGTAATCCACATCAGCAATCCACTTTTAACCACTCTCATTTCTGTATTCCCATTCTTGACTCTCCTCTCAGACCCTTTCTGTACAATGTGGAGGAACCGCGTACACTCCCTTATCTTCTTTCCTTCAATAATTGTTATTTGAACAGAGATAAAAAACAGTATAAGTGTAAGTAAACTGAGATCATTATTGAACCACAGGAGCTTTTACATTTTGTTCTTTTAAAGCGAAACTTAACCTCCTTCAGTTGAACCCCTCTTTATGTGAGGAGTGTTGTTGACTGATTCAGGTCCAAATCTGGACATTTTAGTGCTCGTTTGAAAACTTTCTCTTATATGACAAAAATGGTTAACCGAAATGTGTTTCTGAAAATATTTTAAGCGAGAAATAAGATTGACCGGAAGTGACATATTTTATAAATATTCCATATCATATTCAATAGTAACAATAACAATAGAGAACAGCTGATAAACTGTATAATGAACACAAATATTGAACACAATTTCTGCAGGAAGTTTGTACTGCTTTTACTTGAGTGAAAGATCTCAACACTTCATCCATCGCTGGTTCACCTTTCACCTCTTCAGTGTCTGAAGAGGAAATTACAGTAAGGATAAACCTTCAGGCACGACGGGAAGGAAGTATACCTCACACAGGCAGGCTGGCGAATGGGTGAGGCTGGATCAGAGGTCATGTCATGGATAAGTGGACGATGAGGACGTTGTATTGAGGAAATACAGGCTGATAGAGCAGGCTGTAAGTGTAGTGATAACCTCTGGGTTTATCTGTATGAAAGGAAACAGGACAGAAAGAACAAATCTTCATATGAGGCATCTTTGGTTAATTGAGGTCATGATTTCCTGGCTCAGCCATGTGAGCGTGACTTCTTATGCCCGGGTCAAACACAATGTGTTGTTTATTCATCAAGATGTCTCTTTATTTTCCCTGTTCCTGTCTTTTGCACATTTCCTTGATATATTAAATGTCATATCATATTAAACAATGTTTTTTATAACGAGCAGCTGCCAAAGATCCATTTTAATGTCTCAGAAAACATCCAAACTAATCCTTTCTCTGAATCAGCTGTCAGCGCTAAAGATCGGATTTTATAATATAGAGATATAAAACATGTTATATAGTTATAATAAAACAACCCTACACTATTTGTGTAGCGCTCTGCCGGCGAGACCTTCAGTTATTTACAAGCCATAAATCAATGATGAATCAAAAACAGCTGCACAATGAAGTTATCATGATAATTTAAAGCAGGTTTAAGGGGGGAAATGAAACTACAGCAGGGATATAAACTGTTCCTTTGTGAACATAAAGTACCACATGAACAACTGAAGCTTCAATAGAGTTCATGTAGTTGGCCAGTGGTTCTCAACCTTGAGGGGGTTCCCATTCTTGAAATATTTTAGTTTCACTACTATTTCACAGCCTAGAAGTTATCCCAATGAGAGAATGTTCACTGTTAATCTGTCGATCTACAGTGCCAACATCTGAAAAATCTCATTTTCCAAAGTATGTTAGGTGTTAATCTTGCCATAAAAAAATTGACGCCGTTAACTGTTAATAACACATCTGTTTTCCAGAGTTTTCTATAATTTTAAGTTAAGTTAAGGGCTAAATCTCATTTTCCTGAGACTTGACAACATCTCTACAACAACACATTTATCACATGAAAGGATCCGTGTTCTCCTCTCATGTTTGTGAATCTTGTACAGTTTAAAAAAAGACAAAAAGAGATGATTTATGACAGCAAACATAATGAGAAAACATGCTGCATTCAATTATATGTTGGAATTTGGGATTTGGTACTTTGTAGTTAGGAATTCTTAGTCAGCGAGTTTGGCTGCGGGTACATTTTTAATTGTAAAGAAATATGACAAAACAATTCCAACTTTAGCTCCACTTACTCGCTTTTTGGACCAAATAATCTTGTATAAACATGCATGTTGCTTGCTGGATGGACTGACATTAAACAAAGTTTAACACTTTGAATCTGCTTCATCAGGACTACGTGCAGGTACAGTTTGATCACATTTGATTGACAGTGACCAAACCAGTCCAGTAGAGATGTATTTTTGTAGTCCAACCCTGGTTCCTTCAATAAAAAGCCATTGAGATTGTTCTATTGGATGTTGGATTATTGTGGACAATAATATCTGTGTTAAACAAAGGTTTATGATATGATACTGCTGTTTAGTTCATTGGTGATCTAAATAAAGCGCTTATGTTAGACTATAAACAAACTACACCATGGTCACATGACTTCAGCGTCATCGCCACTAAACTTACAACTTGTAATTAAAATCTACAAGTTGTAAAGTTTGAGTTAGAATAGTTTACAAGAGCATGAGTATAAAGACAACGAGGCTGTAAAGGCGAACTATCTCTGTAGGCTTACTTGTTAGCAACCACCTTTTCTTTTTTTTAAAGCTGCAGTTGTTAACTTATAAAAAAGTTTTCGTCATAATTGTTGAAACTTTCACTATATCCTGACAGTAGCACATGAGGCATAAAATCTGTGGAATAATCAGGTTCCTGTGGCTCCTCCTAGAGTCGAGAAAGAGTTGATTGTTGAGTCTTATTCTCAAGTCGCTTTGAGTCCTGTGAATGAGACTGAATCTACTATCTTCAAGCCACAAACCCAAAGCCTCTTTTTGTCTTTCTCAAAGTTAGAAATTAAGAAAAAAAGGAATTTGATTGATCAGTTTTAGGGCTGTCAAACGATTAAAATATTTAATCGCGATTAATCGCATTAATGTCATAGTTAACTCGCAATTTATCGCATATTTTTAGCAATTCTAAATGTCCCTTGATTTCTTTTTGTCCATTTTAATGCTCTTATCAACATGGAAAAGTGGATCGGCTTGCTTTGAGCAATGTTGTTTTTATTGAAAACAACATTGGCGTATACTGTAGTGTTCAATTTCACACTAACATTCTCACTTGGAGCAAATAATCTCTCACACAATGTAACACTGTCCATCAATAAAAGGGTAAAAAAAATACTTTGTCCCACAAACAGCCCCTTCAACAGCCCTTTCTAAGGGATCAGAACAGGGCGATACAAAATAAAATTACAAAGTGCACATGTAAGGTACACTAGGACTCAGCCTATAGTGCAGTTAAACCATGGCTTAATACTTTTCTCAAGTTTGCTTTGAACATAGCAGTCAGGCTACTGCTCTTTATTCACCAGAGGCTCAACCCAGCCTCTTATTTCAGAAAGAATGAACAGTAACGGTTACCAATAAAAGGTAAGCCTACTACTTCTTTGCTTTGAGCCAGTTACTCAAACAGACAAGCCTGTTGACATTTTCAGACAAGGCATCCATCCATTTTGGCGTCTCGCGCTCGCCATCCACTCAAACGTAACGTCTACTACTCTTAAACAAGTGTGTGCGGCGTGCCTGTTGTTTTGCTTCCGGTCTAGCTAGATCCGATGTGGTGTTGTAGTTTTTCTAACATTACTAGTTGTTGCAACAGCATGTGAAAACTACAAAGTGTGTTAGGTGTTAATCTTGCCATAAAAAAATTGACGCCGTTAACTGTTAATAACACAAAAAATCTGTTTTCCGTTTTGTTGCACAACTCATTTCACTGGTTCTCTGCAGAAATGGGACTCAAACCTGAAGGTGATCGCAGAGGGCTACGCTGCTAAATGTATCTGGAACCACAACCCAGAACTGTTGGAAAGCGGAGAGAATCTGTTCGCCGGCACCGGGCCCCTGGACCTCCGCGAGGCTCTGGAGAAATGGTTTCTGGGTGAGTCGGGTCATCAGTCTATCATCTACAGCAGCTGGACCTCCATCATGGAAAAAGAACAGGACAAACGTTTTTCTTTACGCGTTCAGCAATAAGCAGGTACACAAAGTTAGCGAGAGTCTGGTGGAGAAAGTGGAGGAGACCAAACCAGAGATAAAAAGAGAGTGAGGGATCAAGTTGTTCTGTGTCTGAATGTGGATGAATTCCATTTAGCTGCACCAGGTTCAGTGTGATAGAGTATTTTCATATTGTGCTACAGTTACTTACACTCATATAAATGACTGCATATGAATAACGTAATGTATTGTAATGTAACTGATTCCTGTAGAACATCTGGACTACGACTTCAACAATAACAGCTGTGATGAAGACAAAATGTGTGGACACTACACACAGGTCAGATACAAACACGTACACACACACATTTATACACTGGACTATCTATCTGTCTTTGGACTGGATCTGAAGTGTGTGTGTGTGTGTGTGTGTGTGTGTGTGTGTGTGTGTGTGTGTGTGTGTGTGTGTGTGTGTGTGTGTGTGTGTGTGTTACAGATGGTGTGGGCAGACACACACAGAGTCGGCTGTGCCTTCCATCTCTGTAACAACATGGAGGGACTGGACTGGGAGAGAGTCTCCTTCCTTGTCTGCAACTACTACCCAGCGTCAGTACTACTACTAATACTATAATACTACAGTAATACTACTAATACAATAATACTACGGTACTAATACAGTAATACTCTTACAACACTAGTAGTAATGCCAAAATTAAATGTACTGCAACTAGTTATAGTCCTACTACCACTATTGCCCCAACTGTATCACTACTCTTTCTACTGCTGTAGCTAATACTAATACTACAACTAGCTGCTGCCATAACATTACTGGTACTCCTATTATTATTATTATTATTATTATTATTATTATTATTATTATTATTATTACTACTAACTGAACTGTTGGTAGCACTACTACTGTTTCTTCTACTAGTCCTACAGTAGGACTATATAGTATTACTACTGTAACACTACTATAGTACCACTGCTGCACTACTATTATTGGTACTTGTATTTTAACTTCAATGGTATTTTGGATTGAACAGCTACTACTCCTCCTGGGGTCCACATAAGTAAACATTACGTCATCATGAACAAAAAACAAACATAACATACTACTAAAACCTTAGTAAACAACATTATAACAAATGACAATAACAACAACAACAAATACCCACATTACATCCAAATAGTCAGTAAAATATTTCACTACTACTTCTACTACTAGTATTACTACGTGTACTATTGTTACTAATACTATACAGCTGCTGCCATTACTGTATCTAACTGTGCCACAGATATAGCAGCACTGCTGCTGTTGGAACAACAGCTCCCCCTTGTGGACAGTAATAACACTTCACACAGTGTGTGTCTGAATATATAAGTAATAATTTATAAGAATTACATTTGATTTTAACAGAGAGAAGGAATTAGACATGACCTCCCAGTAATTATATTATTTAATACAGTAACAGCTGTGTGTGTTCTCAGAGGGAACTATGAAGACGAGAGGCCGTATGTTGAAGGGGAGTGGTGCTCCAGATGTCCTGAGAACCTCCAGAAATGTGAAAACAACCTCTGTGGTACGACACGCTCTCTTCCCTCCTCTGGCTCTGCTCTGCAGCTCTCAGCCTTCACAGTATTTCAGCCACACAAACACACATTCAGCAGCAGACTGCGGTGCTTAAATCACACATTACTGTTCCATTTGTTCTTGCTTTATTCTTATGTAGTCCGAACCACTGCAGCACAATATAAAGATACTGGGTGGAGGGTTGGCAACAGTTAGCACAAGTGTACATTTGAAAATGAGCACATTAACAGTTTTTTTTTCATAGAAATGTTGTGATGTTGTGATCTTAAAATGCAAAGGGGGATTTAAAACTATACTATACTAATGTCAATATTAACACCAGCATTAAAGTGTTTCTTCACAGTATAGTCGTGGAATTTAGTTTACGTTTCCTCACACGTGGGGCAGACAGTGTAGCTTTATACGATATTATCGGGGTGTTCGTTAGGCACATTTGACATGTGACACACAGAGTTAAGTTATGAATAAGAAAATGCTGTAGACGGTTGTGTTGTTTCTGCTTTATTACTTTCAATAAATGGCCCACTTTTACAGTATACTGTACATTTAGAGACACAGATTTCTTACAATTTGTTAAAGTTATTTTGATATTAATCAGTGAATTGTGTGTTTTCCAGTTGCTGACACTGAGGACGAACTAGAGGATGATGAAGAGGAGGAGGAGACGGTTAGTCCTCCTCCTCAAGATACATTTGAGCCCTCCCTCCAGCCTGAAGAGGAGGAGACGTTTGTCCATCCTCCAGCTACATCTGAGCCCTCCCTGCAGCCAGAAGAGGAGGAGACGGTCGTGCCTCCTCCAGCTACATCTGAGCCCTCCCTGCAGCCAGAAGAGGAGGATGAGGCTGCTCCTCCTTCTGCAACAACTGACCCTTATGTCAGCAGCACCACCGCCTCAAGAGAGGACTTTGAGGACATGGAATCACCTGCGACCCCTTTCCCAGGCACCTATCCTCCAGAAGTCCCTGCAACCACACTGGGAGAGAAGGAGATAAAGGAGGAGGAAGAGAAGATAAAGAAAACTACAAATAAGATGGAGGAAAAGGGTGCGAGAGACGTAGCAGGAAAAAAATACCACAAGAACGAAGTTCGTGTCAGTGCTGGTTCAGTATCTTCACCGTCTCTCCTGTTAGCCTGTCTGACTGGGATCCTGACTCTGAGGCTGTGAGGAGGAGGAAGAGGAGGAGGAGGAGGAAGGACGGAGGAAAAGAAGAGAGTGAATAAGTTCACCTCACCTCACCACTCCTGCGTTGACTGCACATTACCTTGTTAATCCGCCCCGTGGTAACAAACAGTTCCCCCTCTCTCCCCCTGCAGAGTAATATGGGTCAATTAATAATTCATACTCATCAGAAAACCATTTTCACAACATCTGCATGTAGTCTGGGCCGAGATCTGGGTCACATAACCTGCTTCAACCTGCTTGGAATACAAAAAAAGTACTAAATATGTCGTGTTCATATTACGGACACACATTCGCAGCATCTGCTCGGGGGATTTCTTTGACCGCTGACTGAAAACACAACTGTAGGTGAGAGAAAACACTGAGGGTTTATGATGTGCAGCAGCTTTTAAAAGGACAGTTTGCCCCAAAATAAAATAAAACATTTTCCCTCTGACCTGTAGTCTATCTATCTAGATTGTTTAGGAGATATCAGCCGTAATGATGTCTGCCTTCTCTCCAGTATAATGGAACCAGATGGTGCTTGGCTCGTGGTGCTCAAAGCGCCAAAAAACTACATCTGAAAACCTCAACAGCAAAATCTTATTCCAGACATCAGCAGACTGAGCAGGTTCATGGAGGAACCATTTTCTACCAAACAAACCCTCTGACAGTAGCTTAGCATTAGCTATCTCAGTGGTGCTAGGTGAGCGGGCTAATTTTCTTTCTATGTATAAACACACAGAAGTAACCATACGTGTTCTCATGGAAGAGATGTTTGTGCAGGACGTAAAAAACCTTCCTCCTCAGCTGAGCTGTAACGTTAGCTAGCTACCTAGCACCCCTGAGATAGCTAACGTTCAGCTACGGCTTAAGACATTTAAAAGGTCCAGTGTGTAACATTTAGGAGGATGTATTGTCAGAAATGGAATGTAATGTTCATAGTAGTGTCGCCGTGTCTTCATCCCCAGAATCAGAGTCCTGGTTGGAGCCACTGGAAATCAGCTGGCCTCTATTGGTCCGCCCCGCTCAGGTTCTGTGGCTCATTCGGGCCGCGCTCCCCGGGAGTATTCCCCGCTGCTGCTACGCTAGTAGTGATTAAACTCCCCGTCCTTCCAGCTCCCAGTCCGGGTACAGGCAGTTCATAGGACTACTAACAGCAGCTAGTACAGTTAGCATATGCAGCATTGCACAGGTAAGAGACTTCCTGTGTTACAAGAGGAAAGGTCTGTGTTGCAACGACCCTCTCCTTAATTTTCATTTTATGCTTTTCTGCGACTATCAGTAGGGTGGCCATTTCCTTCACATCAAAAAGGAGGACACTTTGCATACACAGGGACACACAAGCAGATATTTGTTTGGTATGATCCGGTTTTAAATGTTAATGTTTTTCCAGCAGATTACATAAAGGTGCATACACATACCACATAGCTAATAATAAATATACAAGATACAGCTCATGACAACGTGCCCTTCCAATTCAGATTACATAGGTCTAATAACCATCATACAGAAACTGTTCTTGATGGTTTTATCTGGGGATAAAGGGCTTTGTCTATCTACATCTGAGTATGAGCATTTTCAGAATTTCAGTCCAACAACTGACGTTAGCTCACCTTATGTTCTCTGTGGCTGAGAGTTTGATTGACAGCCTGGTGGTAACCTAGCAATCAACACATGGCTCATTTGAATATTAAAATCAGCCATGTGTTGATAGGTCAAGACACGAAAATGTAACCAATGAAATTATTTATTTTGACGCACATTTTTAGCCAATAAGAATTAAAGAAACGAGGTAATGTGTCAGACTAACGATTAAGTTGACCATTAGGGGGCGATCCTGATTCATAGGTATGTTTTCATTAGTGTATAATAGCCTGAAAATAAGAGTAGTGTTTTCATTACTTTAGAATGAGTTGTTTTTATCTACAGACACTGTGGGGGTCGCCTTCCTTGGAGGCAGCCATGTTGATCCGCCATATTTCTACAGTAGCCCAGAACAGACAAACCAAACACACTTGTGAGTTTTGCTGCCACCATAGTTCCTCTTACACACTTCACAGCCGTTCTCATTCCCAGGTATAAAATTCCAGATGTAAGCAGTTCAGTTAGTTATAATATGCTTTGCCGCTAGATGCCACTAAATCCTACACACTGGTCCTTTAATGTGACAGCAGGCTGAGGTGAATAAGGAACATTTCGGGCTGTACTCCTAGTGTCCTTATTCCAAAACTACATACAGCTACAGATAAAGTAACCTTACCTGTTCCATGCACTTACACTGTAAGTGGATTTCACAGTTTATCATGAAGTGATGTTGTGATACCACAATAATACCAACGCTTTTCACCCAGAAGTCCGTTCGAGTTTAGATGCTGGACGCCAAAAAGTGTAAAATTTTAAGTTTGTGTGAGCTCTGACGGGGAGCTGCAGAGTGTCTGTACTGAGAAACAAAAAGGGTTTGAGTGCTGTAAAGAGAGGCTACTCACAAAAAGGAATAAAAGTCCTCCCTCTCAGATCGCCTCCTCATGTTTGTCAGTCGATCATTTATCTGCAGGGTGAAGGCGGTATCGGTGGAAGGATTTAAATATACAGTATCATCTCATGTGGAACAGCCACTGTAGAGAGTGGGAGACATTGTGTTTTTAGTGTTTAGTAAATGCAGGAGAAATGATTGCTGAACAGTCTTTGTTGTGTCAAACTGACGACCCTGCTTCTTCTTTCACAAATATATATCTACTGTACGTCATATATACTCTCTCAGACTGGAACTGCAACTGGACAGAGTCTCTAATAATTGACATATCTCTGTTACACTGTCGTAGACCACAGGAAATTACCATAACGATCTTTAATTACTTTTAGCAAAGATTGCTGTAAATGTCTGTATATAAGATTAATAAAGAAATAAACCTTATTTCTTCTTTTTGACGTTGCAATGTATATTTCGCTTTTTTCCCCCCCAACCAGTTTGTGTCCATTATTCTTTGAATCTATGAATCTCTAGTCGAGACCAAGTAGACCGAGTCATTATAAAAAAAGTCTTACAGAGTGAAGTCCGAAACACTGCCGATGGAGCCTGGCAGCTGCTGTGGCCACAGTTATTATTTTGTATCTCATCACCTTACTCGAAGAGATGTAGCTTTATTGATCCACCATAAGGGAACTTCAATTTGACACAGCTAGGGTTGGGTACCGAACTTTTAAGGGTGCGAACCGAATTACGTTAAATCAATCTGAGCTGAATCAGACTGTGTTTACTATTTAAGGATAAAATACACAAGTAAACAACGTCTGGCAGGAAACACACGTTCTGAAACGCTATCACAGGCACAAGTTGTGTCCGGTGGAATTTTGGGGTAAATTAGGAAAGTAAACACATCGACATCCACCTTCTCAAGCATTAAGAAACAAATCCATAATGGTTTGATTAGAGACGGGGGACAGCTCGGCCTCTTGCAGCCACGATGCCAAATGCAAGATGCAGGCAGAGAGTGTGGACAGCCTGCGAAGGAACCTCCAGTGGAGAGAAACAAGGAAGGAAAAAAAGATTGATGGAGTGAGAGACAGAGCGACAGCAGGAGCAGACAGCTCCTATATCAGCAGGTGAAACTCTCAGTTGAAAGTAGGAATAGAAAAGGTAATTGGGTCCAAGGTGTCAGGAACAAAGAGAGGTCTCATATTGTGAATTTGGCAATGAATAGAATAATAAAACACATCTGACTCAGTGTGCAAGGTTTCCACTCATAATGAATTTAATTGGATGACTTTTAAAATATGCATATGAAAAATACAGACTTCATGTGCAAAGGGTTAGTATGCTTCTGTAAAATCATGAATATAATTGGGAAGATTCTTTTTGTATCTCAAGATAATATTAAACATAATAAACCCAATTAAAAAATTGCACCCAGTCTTAGTTTCTGTAGTCTGTAATGTAGTGATCCATCTTATATCCTTTATGTAACTGTATTAATGTTGTAGGTATGGTTATTTGCTACCCTGTAGTGAATGTTTCCTTGGATGTGGATTTGGAGAAGAGGAGAGGAGGAGGCTCAAAGACCTGTAGAGATTGAAAGATTGAAGATTAAAAGTTTAAAGAGGGGTGAAAATAGAAAAATGCAAAAGTGATGAAGAGGAGGATGTGAGAGAGATTTAAAATGAGGCAGAGAGAATAGTTGAAATATTCATTGCTAACTGCTCTTACTGCTCTCAGGCTATTTCTGGTGCTTCTTTTAAAACTGCATTCGGAGAGGCTGCGTGTGTGTGTGTGTGTGTGTGTGTGTGTGTGTGTGTGTTTGTTACCTTTTAGGGAAGCTTTTCTGGTATAAACACCTACCTTCAGCACTGTGCATGCAAGGAACGCTTAAACAGTTATGTTTTTCCCAACAAACAGACCTTTCTGTTGCTTGTGATTTTGCTGCAAAAATAATGCGTTTTAAATTAATGTATGGCAAAATAATCACAACTCAGAGATTTACATATTTGCTTTGAAAGCTTTCGTCTCACAGTGTTGATCAGTGCATGGAGCTTGCTCAGTGTGGGACTTCAGAAATGGTAAAAATAAGTAAATAAATGCACTTTATAGTTTAAAGATAAGTAATTAATAACACACTAACGGGGCATGTGCAGGGAAATGAGTTGGTAGGATTTGATTGACTGCCGTTATAACCATCTTGTTGTCGTCTCATGTTGTCCTACACAGGTCCGGTTTTGCAAACCGCACCAGCAGAGCCGGAACCGACCCGTGCTACACAGTCATATTTTTACATGTGCAATTGTAAGTGTAATATCTAGAAACAATGATTTAAATAAGAATTAATGTTTGAATTAATCACCAACACACAAGAAATAGCCTGCATAGTTTAATTTAATCTCATTCATTTCAACCTGTGAATTTGTATAAGTATGTTTACCCATTACACAACGTCTTTTGCATGTTACCTGGCGGGTACCCGACCCGGTGCAGGAGTATAACAACAATTACCACAATTAACACCTGAAGTGTGAGTGAAACACAATCCCAGCTGGTGTTCACAGCTGTATTAATTAAACCTGAAGCGTTTCTGTTTGTCAGACACAGACTGATGACCTTGTAGGGCTGAAGATAAATTCTGTTGCCTCTGCCTTAAACAGACGGTAGAAATGGAACAATAAAATAAAACTGACGTTATGTCTTATTCAACACTGTACGTTACTCAGCAGTAGTTCCAGTCGTAGCTGCATCTTACAGTTTGCAACTGTTTGTTTTTTCCAGCAGAAGACTGTAAAACTGACCCCTCTGGATCCAGATAAAATGGAGGTGGAACAGATTCCAAACCCTCCAGCAGAGAAAGCGAGAAGCTGATCTCCAGCCGAGGAACGTCAGAGGCTGATGATGAACAGGTCACAATCCCAAGGTAAATGGTAAATGGACCTGTACTTGTATAGCGCCTTTCTAGTCTTCCGACCACTCAAAGCGCTTTTACACTACGTGCCACATTCACCCTTTCACACACATTCACTCAGTGATGGCAAAGTCTATCGAACAGAAACTAACATTCATACACATTCACACGGCATTGGGAGCAATTTGGGGTTCAGTATCCTGCTCAAGGATACTTCGACATGTGGCACCAGGAGCCGGGGATCGAACCCACAACCTTCCGATTTAAGGAACGACCCGCTCTGCTTCTGAGCCACAGCCGCCCGAGGTAGCCCCGCCCTAAAGCATACCCTACTTTATGGTCTATTTTATTCTAAATGGGACCATCATTTACAAAATGAACATCATGTTGTATGGAAGAAGACTGAAATTAGAGACTGAGACCATAAACTCATCAGGAAACTGTTTACTGAGCTCATAAATCAACTGAGAAGTCAGCTAATTTCTCCATAAGACTGCATGGTATCTGTGTGTTATTGCAGCTAATGGAGCTCCTCCTGCTGGCTGTTACATAGAATGCAGGTATAACTGTGTATATATATATATATATATATATATATATATACTGTCAGTGGCAGTGACTCAGAACCTGGTTCTCCCACTGCCTCAATATGCTCCAATGAGGACATCATAGATGCAGTGTCCCTCTGGAGTTGGTTGATAATGTGGAACATGAAGACGTCAAAATGCGGGAGTCCTTTCCTTCGCCTACTCCAGCTCATCCCAGCCAGCGGATCATAATGAGGTGAGCTCTGTGGTTCTGAAGGAAAACATCGCTGAGGAAGCAGACCTGAGCTCTGTCCCTGTGGAACCGGTTTATGTGGCGGATAATGACGTCACACCAGAGGATGTCATGGAGGACAACCTCGTCACAGACATGGATGCAACCCCAGGAAACAGCCAGCAGCTACTCTACATCTAAAGACTAATGTGCTTAAACCAGGATCACTGCACCTTCCGAGGAGGATGACAAAGACTTCTTTCAAAAATGGGCTGCATTTCATTAGTAGTTCCACTTCCCCTCGTTCACTTACCCTCAGCCCTTGGTATGACGTAACAGCATATGTCGCACGGAGGCCACTTGGAGCGCGGAGGGAAAGTGGGCGGGGGAGGAGTGGGGGATTTAAACGAAACGCACTTGCCCTTACTCGGTGTTATAGCGCCAATGACGTAAACTGCAATGCATTGTGGGTGATATCCACCTCGGAGTGACCATCGTTGTTCACTCGCTCCCTCAGCCCTCCGAGGGTCCATCTCACCAAGTTCACTTCAGTTTTCCAGACAATTGGAACGACACTTATGATGGCGGCGGGGATTCCCCCGAGGGCAAGTGAACGAGGGCATGTTGAACGACTAATGAAACACAGCCACAGACTCACCATCGGTACCCTCAGGACACGATGGAGATCTCAAACTTTACAGATCCACCGGGCAGCTTAGAAAGGTATGGGAAATGGTGAGAAAGCAGACCTGAGCTCTGTTCCTCTGCAGCTAGTGGATGTGAAGGATGAGGACGTCACACCAGAAGACAAACATGATGTTGTGTTAATAATTTGCGATGTGGTTTTTGGTTTTTCTATGAGTTCATGTGACACTGTGCCTGAAGAGGTTGTAGCTCCCCCTGTTAGTTGTGATAACCTGCCAAAATATACGCCGAAAAGCATCCCAGAAGAGACTCCATATCAAATCAAGTTACATCAACATTGTGGTACCAGACCACAAACAGTGGAGAAACTTTGTTGTAAGGACAAAATACACATGTAAACAATGTCGGGCAGGTAACACTGACAGATGCTCTTAGTGCGATTTGCGGATCACTGAGCCAAACCGTGTCACAGACGCAAAGTCATAAAGCTGTGCCAGGTGTAATTTCAGGGTTTAGGAGTTATGAATGCTATATGTAAACATATGCATCAGATGGTGATTATGGGCTCCTGCCCTTTGGCTGTATTTGTTACAGGGGCGGCTGCAGATCAGGAGGTTGGCAGTTGGATCCCCACCTTCTGCCGAAGTGTCCTTGAGCAAGATGCTAAACCCCAAATTGCTCCCAATGTGGTGCGTGGTCGGTGTGTGAATGAATTATTGTGGATAAATGGTTGTTTCTGTTTGTGATGACCTTTGCTATTCGCTGTGAGAACGTGTGTTAATGGATGAAGGTGGCATGTAGTGTAAAGGTGCTTTGAGTTGTCCTAGTTTAGCATTTAGCCGGGTGAAAGTCCTCAGTCTCTGTTGCATTTAGCACAGCATTTAGAAACTGGCTTGTGAGGTCGAAGTTAAGAGTAGAAGTATCCGTAACACCCGGCATTTGTATCTTCAGGGTCGACAGACATTGAGCATTTTGCGTCCTGTAGCAACCCTGTTTGGGTCCTCCAATCAGAGAGTGAGACTCCCACTGCAGTGGACACTCAGTGAACCACTGCAACGGGTCTCTGGTGACCACAATACCAACAACCTTCCCCCAGGCTGTGTGTGTGTGTGTGTGTGTGTGTGTGTGTGTGTGTGTGTGTGTGTGTGTGTGTGTCTGCACTGAAATACAAAGGTTGTTAGAGGAAAGAGAGACAAGAAGTGGGAGAGACAGACAGGCAGAGAGAGTGACATCAGTATGGAAAGATGGAGAGATGGAAAAAGAAGAGGGGATGGACACTGAAATACAGATTTTTAAGATTGGGTCACAGAAGGAGAAAACTACACAGCGGGAGATAAAGTTCAGGAACAGTGGAGATAAGTGAGTGAGGGAGAACTACTGAAGCCAGAGACAATTAATAGTGACGTGGCCTCTGGCTGCCCTCAGCTCTCTTCCTCTCTCTCCTTTTATTCCCTCTATCACCCCTTTCAAACGAACCTCCTCTTCTCCTTCTGGAGGTTTCCTTCTGATTGTAAATTCAACTTGTTTTCGTCAGGTTGTCCCAAACAAAACAAGTGTTATCATGTTTTGTGTCTCAGTTTGAAAACTTCCATACTCACACTAACTATATGAGTGTGGGGTGCCCGGATAGCTCACATGGTAGAGCTGGTGCCCCATGTACCAAGGCTGCTTACTGCAGCGTCCCAGGGTTTGAATCCGACCAGCGGCCCTTTGCTGCATGTCATCCCCTCTCCGCCCCCTGTTCCTGTCTATCTTCAGCTGTCACTATCAATCACAGGCAAAAAAAAGCCCCAAAAATACATTTGAAAAAGAGTACATTAGTGCGTTCACAATGTCGAGTGTGGCAAAATGCATGTCGTATTGAGACAGCATTGGTCTAGCTGAGTCCTGCTGCCCTGGGCCTCAACACCTGATGATGCCAGTTAGTGATCGCTTAGTTTCCTTAAGAAATACAATGATTTCTGTGTCCAGACTTTTTTGACTGGGTTGGCACCTTACAAATATAATAAATAATATAAAGCTTCCATACTTGATTCTGGGCAAATCATCCATCCTCTGAAAGTCCTCAGTCAGTTTGTGGTTGCACCGTTTCATGCGGTTGTTCCTTGCTAATGGTATTAACAGAAAGTGTTTTCATGGGTAACCATAGAACCCATTTTTATTCAGATCCAGTGAGGTCAGAGGTCTGTTGTTGACAATCAGATCCTTGTAAGTTGTTTTCTGTGCACTTTGCACTCTGCAAGATTGTTGATTTCCTCCCAATATGAAGTCTTGCCGTTGTTTGAAACCTGGCTGATGATCGTGGTGCCATTTTTTTTCTCTTAGATCTTTCTCTCAGATCATCTGCGTATTCTATTTGAAACTCGACTGCAGGTAGGATAACCTGCACAGACACTTCAAAACGAGTTTAACAAATGTGGAACAAACTTGCAGTAAACTTTACATTGTTCATTGCTCACGAGCAGAATTTCCACTAGTGTCTTGTACGTGAAACAAACAAATAAAACAAAAAATAAAACTTAAATTGAATGAATACTTAACTGAATTTTCTATCAAATAAATTCTATTTAAATTGAACTATTATTCATGGGCTTTGTAGTAAATTCATTGGAGAGTACGCAGCAGAATAATCAGTGAATTCATTCATCAGGGAGATTCAGCTCACCTGGTCTGGTGACAAGACTGTATAAGCTGGAGGCAATCAGTTTGGTTTTGTTGTATTAAGTTTGTCTTTAGCTTCAGTTCTCTATTAGTTATGTAAAATAAACTTATTTTTAGTAATACTCATGCATATTCTCCCCTCCGTTGACCAGCCTTGAGCTGGGTTGTTACAAATTGGGGGCTCGTCCAGGCTGAAATTTTTGGTAATTTGGCCTGAAAACAACTGATACAGCTTCAGGTCTGTGAGATTTATAACCTAGTTTATATTTATGGGCATGTGTGTCTGTATGTTAATGTGTGTGTGCTATATGTTTGTGTTATGTGTGTGGTGTGTGTGTGTGTGTGTGTGTGTGTGTATTCAGGTCTCCCTGGAGTCAGTGGAGCCTCATTAAGCCGCATTAATTTGTCTTATATAACTCTTCCTCTCACTCTTCTGTAATCCACCTCATTGTTCTCTCAGGCAGACGTCTCATCACCAAAACAATTATCATCTCGTTTCCTGATCCTGACGAATTAATGGAGCAATTTTATAATTTCAAGAGTTCCTGTAAGTCCTGTATGATTCCGGCTCCATGAATGGGTTTTTGAATCTCCAGCTCAGAACTTTTGTTCTCTAACTATGTTTCGTAGATTAATGTAGTTCAGTTCAAAGATGAATTATATCAGACAAATGTGCAAGATTTCACTCTTAAAACACATAAATGTCGACTAAAATTATCTTCCTTATTATAGCCAACATGTGATCACACTTCAATCTTGTCTCTCTTTCTCTTAAAGGTCCAGTGTGTAACATTGAGAAGGATCTGTTGGAATATAATAATCATAGGTATGTTTTCATTAGTGTATAATCACTGAATTTTTGTTACCTAAGAATGAGCCGTTTTTATCTACAGGCGTCTACAGCCTTTCATGCAGTCTGCGTTGTTTCGACTGTAGCCCAGAAGGAACAAACCAAACAGCAGCTCTAAATAGGGGTTTTTTGGCACATTTTTGGGTGAATTTCACGCCCACCGTATTTTCTCCTTCAAGCTTGTGAAGCGATGGACTACACAGCTAAATGCAACTAAAGGGGAGACCCTGGATACAGCGTTGGAGGTGATGCTGCGTTCATTCTGATGAAAGCTGCTCAGTGGTGCATGAAGCCAAAAAAGCCACATCCTGCTGTAAATAAATCACTCAGATGAAAATCGACTGAGCAGCTAACTTCTGGTTTAGCCCTCCGTTACCTTGAATGGAGATAAAAATGATTTGATTGTGCGGCTCTATTAGACTTTCAAAATGTTATCAAAATGGATCAAATTCTGATTCTTCATTTTGAGGAGGGTGTACCCACCGTTTTAAAGCTGCGTCTTTCACAGTTTAATCTTATGGGTCAGCGTGTATCACGTGACACAGTTGCTGTAATTGCACGGTTCAGCCACTATGTGGAATTAGCTTCAAAGCCCGTCACTCGTCCTGGGGACCTGCCTCTTCTACGTAGTGCGCCATCAGGGTTAGGAAAGTTACTTTAAAAGTGTAAGTTAGGTCAGTAACCTAATCACAGTATTTCAGTATTACAGTTACATACCTTCCTATTACTTCTGCATTACCTCAATATCAAACATGCCAATAAGACGGGAGAAAGAAAGACAAATATCATTACTGGTATTCTGTAAGACTACAAAAACAGTGACAATGTGACATTGGAATCAAACATGTGACCTCTGCTCAGTGTTTTTAAAGAAAATGAAACATGAAGCAAATTCAGGCAGTAGGTTACAGAACATTTTCACATCTGGAAGGCAGAACTACAGTGATGCTGTTCCCTTTCTGCTTTAAAGACAAAATAATGGTGAAATTCCCCCCCAGTGAAAGCCTCTTTTCACCTCAGGATAATGAACAACTACCAGAGTGCTAATCTAAAGTAGGAGTTTAACAAAATATTGAACATTTCGCAATATTTTGTCTTGTGTACTTGTATCCTGATTACGTAGCTCTGGTACATGTAATCTTTTACTCCTCAAGCATGTCTACCATGTTTCTACAGTACAGTAAAGGACAAAGCGGACTCTGGCTCTAGATTATGGCCCTTCGCGTTTTTGGAGTGGGAGGGTGAGGCGAGGGGGTTGCACACTGCTCCTTTAACTGTGTTGTATTTTCTTTATGGTGGAGCTACAGTACGAGTACCATATTGTGGTCACGAGTCCCACCAGACACCAAAATAAAAGTCATATTTTATTTGATATTCAGCTTCTCTCAGGAGTGAAAGCAAGGTGGGGAAATACAGAATACTATATTTATTAATTTATTGGGCTTAAAAATAGTAAAATGTTCATATTCTGAGTACTAGAATAATTGACAGCACGCACTCACAGCACACAGCGTTACTGCGAAACAGCGGCTGTCTCATTTTAGAATGAAAATCATGAATCACATTAAACATAAAAAGCGAAATCACACGGTAACGCACATTATGTCAACACACTCACACACACACACTGAATAATATCAGCATCAGTCGAGGCCGGGGGCACAAACGGAGAGTAAAGCACAGGAGGAGGAAGGCATTTTGAGACGGATGGTGACGAGAGAAAAGGCAGAGTGTGAAGAAAAGAGACACAGGAGGGGGAAAAAAGGATAGATCAAAACAGAGAGAGAGGTGAAGGAGAGAGAAACCCTGAATGGATAGTTAAACTGACGCCGCTCTCAGCCAATCAGAGCATCCAACTCCCCTCCTGCTTCCAGACGGGCTCTGTGATTGGCCGGCTGGAGCAGAGAGAGAGGGAGAGAGAGAGTGACAGGAGAATAAGAAAGAAGAAGAAGAAGAAACTGTCAGATGAGGATGGCTCTCTTCTTCACACCTCCGTCTCTCTCTCTTTCTCTCTCTCTCTCTCTCAGTTTGTCAGTAGCCTCTCTGCCTCGTTCGCCCCTCTCCGCGCCACTGCTGCTGTTCACTCTCCCCGCGTTGCTTTCTGATTCCTGGGGAGAGAGAGAGAGAGAGGTTTAATGCGATGGACCTGCTGCCCACCGACTGCTATTACTGCTGCTGTTTACACCGCGGCATCATGGGAGCTGTAGTTTCCTCTGCAGTGCGGGAGGACAGCTGATTAGCCGGGGATTGTGGGTTATCAGAGTTTGGAGATGTGAGCTGGTGGGCGGACGAGGCTCATCGAACTCTCTCTCTCTCTCTCTCTCTCTCTCTCTCTCTCTCTCTCTCTTTCTCTTCTCTCGCTCTCTTTTTTCCACTCTTTTTAACCCTTGTTCTCCCTTTTCCATCCACTCCTCTGCAGTTTCTTTCGTCTAATCATTTAATATTTCTTTCCCTCCTCTTTCTCACCTATTGTTTTTTCCTTCCCTCACTTCTTTTTTCTCCCTTTATCCCTCCATTTTCTTCTCCTCTCTCATCCTAACTTTTCCAAGGAGAAGTCAGAATGGGTTGTCGTCTCACTCGGACCAAGGTGAGTGACCTCCTTCAGGTGTGTTTTGGGTTGAGAGAGAGTGAGAGAGAGGGTAGATAAAGAGATGACCTGCTCTCTGCAGACATCGCGCACACACTCACAAATCCCTAACCCAGATAGAACCAGTGAACCCAGACAAAGGCTGAGTGAATGACCGAAGGCTAAAGGCTATTATCTGTGTGTGTGTGTGTGTGTGTGTGTGTGTGTGTGTGTGTGAGTGTTGTATTATTTCATCTGGTTAAAAGAACAATTAACTGTGTTTATTACGGAGAAGTTTGATGGACCGAGTGGAGCTGTGAAGTGTGAGGGGGCCACTGGGTTCCCCGCTGGAAATTCTTTTGAAGGACCGGTGTGTAGGATTTAGCGGCATCTAGTGGTGTAGTTTCAGAATGCAGCTCCCTCGCTTTACCCTCCCCTTTCAAGCACGAAAGAAAAACTGTGTTTGGTGTCTGTAGATCAGGGCTCCTGGAAAACCAGACATTTAGACACTCGTTTTCCTGTCCAAACATGACCAAATATCCTGGAAATGTTTGTATTCTAGCCCCTCTCTCAGATCTGTGTAAACTTTGGTGCGTACTGTTGGTGGGATTAACTGTTCACAGTGGGTTTGCCACATGCAAAGTGGAATTGACATTGCTTTTTTCTTGTACTTTTAGCCACCACTTAGGTCCAGACCAGGGAAGTTTTTTGACTGGGGTTCTGACTTATGAGAGCCTCTTTTCTTCTAGCGTCATCATCAGGTCAACATTTAAACGTCTTCAGTACTTTGGTTTATGGCCAAATACCTGAAATTCCCATCAGCTGTACTTTGTGTTTACTGCAGCCTCACAGAGGCGCTAGCATGGCTGTAGACTGATACGGTTGGGCCACAGCGGCGCAACATTTAGAGACTTTTTCTGTGCAACAGTGAAAATGATCTGTTGAAAGTCATACAGATTACATCAGAAACATATACACCTTTCACTACAGTTTCAGTGTCTATTTATGTAGAATAAGTCACACAAATGTGGTGTGAGCCGCAGCAGTCAGCGAGGCAGCTGGCACATACAGGTAGAGGTAGGCAGTTAATCTGGTTTCTGTGGTATTACAATACCCATGAGCCTCAGCTGCCATTTCTATACAGTGACCAGACTGATTCCTGACTAATATCTGTTAATTATAAAATGATCCTTGTTTTCCATAGACATTTATCATGTTCTGTCCCATGTGTCTGAATTCAACACTGATTTGTCTGTATGAGTGTCAGTCAATCAATGTGTCGCTGTCAAGGCTGTTGCTAACCTGTGAGTCATAGCCTCTTTCTTTCTGTCAGTATGTAATATATAACATATATAATATATAAATAATGTATAACGGTTAGCTTTCATGCTGAAGAAAAGGAGCTCCAGGAGGTTTACCTGCAATGAAAATGCTGCATTCACGGCGTCAACGGTGTTGAAAGGAGCACTCGTTAAAATAATAGTCCCCCATATATTATATATTATCACTGCAGGACATTGTAAAGGTTACATATATAGATCCACTGGATGTCGCACTAAAGCACCAGTAACTCAGACCAAAGCAAAGTGGACAGAAATAAAATAAAACTCACTTTGTTCCAGGGTCACATTTATCAAATTAGATGTAAAAATATTGTGAAAAGGATGCAATGATGATAAAAACAGCAGTTTCAGTCGGAGCAGACCGGCAATGGAGACAAACCACAGAGAGGCTGCGATACAACACAGGCAGAGGGAGAGAGACACCATGAGCTGTTTGCTGATCGTAATATATCTTAGTTATGATTCTTAAACAACAATTTATTTTTGAGTTTATTGCAAGAGTGTTTTTATTAAAATTTGAATGTAGGTCACCACACTGCATGTGTTTTTAAGGCTCTCAGATACCAGTATGTGGTTCTAATAAACGTCTTGGACTTTGCACTGAAACTGAAATTGATCTTCTGATTTGTTTCCACAAAGAAAATTTTTCAATCTTTTGAAGCAAGGCGCAGCCAAGCATGACTTCCAGCGGTGACGAATCTGCAGGAAAGCAAATGGATCAATGTTGAAAGCATAGTCATAGAAGAAGAAACTTGTTTTTAGGCTCAATTATTCTATTGCAATGAAGCCTGAACAGCCCAAGAACACATCATGCAGAGCTCTCCACAAATGAGTCCGTCACTGAGAGTTTTTCTGAGAAAGTGTTTGTCGATTGCTGAGCACTCCTCCTTATTTCTCTCTGCTTGTTACAGCGCAGAGCCACATCTCAGTAATTGCTGTTCGTGGATATTTGAGGTTTTCTTCCCCTCCTGATGATCAGTGACGAGAGCTCGTAGCTAGTTTCCTTTAGCGCCACGTCTCCTGGCTGAATGCCTCTGTGATCAAAAGGCTCGACTGGCTGCGGTTCGACGCACTCTTTAGCCACACAGAGCTGAACAATCTGCAACGACGACAGCAGGACGAATGTTCGCTGGCACACGTTTGTCTCCGAACGCCGGAACACGCGATTATCCTGCTACGCACGTCAGAGGAGGTTTTATCATCAATGCATTGATGCTGCGGCAAACAAACACCTTATCAGATGACTTCCTGTGGCAGTTCAGGAGAGCAACAGACTAACACAGCGCAGACAGAGGACGGAGATTATAACTGGATCTGATGGCTGCTGAGGTGACCCGATCTGGGAGACAAGCCTCACGTAAACACACAACACAAGACATGAAATACAGTCACTATACATAACAGTCTGCCTATAACACATCACTTTATACAGAGAGAACCATCACCAGAGGCACAGTAAAGGTTCACTGCTTTGCTTTAATGAGCAAAATTCCTAAATAGTAATCTGATTACGGCTGTACCCAAGTTTGGCTGTTTGATATTCTCAGTTTTTCCCCACGCATCCTGGAAAACCTGGAAATTTAGAGCCTAGTTTTCAAGTCATGGAAACACCTGGAAATTGATCAAAATGACCCAATATCCTGGAAATAATCTGTGTTGTCCTGGAAAAGAATTGTTGCATTTTAGCTGTGGCCAAATTAATGTTACAGCGAAAAGTGAGTTAACACAGAATCCCTTCAACCAGTGGTTCGGGACCCCCACTAGGGGTCACCAAAGCTTTACTGGGGGTCAGAAGTCCTTCTTGATTTCAACAAGTTCAAGAAAACTCTATTTGTAAAATATACAGTAAGTCTATATCTCGGCATTTCATTCATTTCTGTGAAAAAAACTAAATGAAATAGCTTTAAAGTATAGATGATAATATTATAAACATATTGTCTGTTTGTTAAACATAATTTTAAAAAAAAACAATACAGACAAAATTGTATAAAAATCGTCCTAAAATTCTTAATGTGAGGTAAAATGAGTGTTTCTGTCTCTGGAGTCTGGTGGAGAGTGATAGTGATATTACGGCTGTTTGTGGTTAAACTAAAGGTCTATCTCTGGAGGGATCCTTTCCATAATGCTGTCAGACACTGACAATAACAACCTGAGTCTGTCAGTGGCAGAAAAAACTACTGTTAGTGGAACAAACAACAACTACTGTTAGTGGATAGACTTTTCTCATATTTTCTCGTGTAACTAGATGCATTAATGGTTTATTTCAACCAAACCAGAGCTGGAGATTGTTGGAAAAACTAACACAGATGATTTATTGTATTTCTGTCTCATTGTTTTGGACTGAGATACTCGTGTATATATAACCTTGAAACATAAATATGTGGTTTCATTGCTTAAAAAACGTCTCGAGCCGAGGTGACAGCTGAGGTTCTATCTCAGAGAGGATCAACAGGGATCCTCCATCGTGGCTGCTAAAGCTGAATGTAAATGTTTAAGTGGTCTGTTACGACGGTAGAAAAGCGAGAGGAGAACCACACAGGGTTTATTTACGTCTGCTGTGAGGCTGGCACAATGTAAGGCAGCAGGACGTTGTGTCATTTGACTGTAAAGACATTGACAGTTTGACATAAATGGGTGGTGGTGCAGGACTAACAGCTCTGTATTGCCTGTGGATGTACAGTACATTTTATCTCCCTGTAAAGCTGCCATGGAACTGCCTTAGAAGACACTGCAAATGATTATAAACCAGACCAGAATACTTTAAATAATACAAAACTATCCAATTTTCAGACCATCAAGACAAAATTCATGAATGACTAACAGACTGGAATGATTACACCCTACAGAAATCAGAACAGGACTAATTAAATAGTCAAATTTGCTTTGAGACAACAATAGCAAACATATGTGCATTAAAATAAAGCAACCATTCCCATTTTTAATCATCTGTGCACCAGAATATTTCTGGGTTTTGTCATTTCATGAAAGACTGACACTCTCGCCACGTACAAAAGAAAATGTGACTCACTTTCCACTTCACCCAAATCACACAGCTCATGCAATCTGTTTTCCTCCTGAATCTGCCAGAGGAAGAATACGAGTTCAACTTACAGGAGCGGGATGTAACAAAGGATCCAGTGCCATGAATCCCGCATTACAGTCAGGGTCATTTAGTGGTTTAATCCGCATATACGTCCTTGATTTTGTTTTCAACTAAACATTCTCCAGCCAGCTTATTTTCAGTGTTTTTGACGTCACATTAAGATAAAATAATGAATCATGTCCTTGCAGCAGGTAAGAGTACAGAGCCAAACCACGATAATAAGAATAGATATTATATAAATAAAAATAAGATATGTGGTCTTAGATATCTGCACTGGATCTCTGAGTGAAAATGACTTCAGTCTATCAATAAATAAGGACCAGTGTGTAGGATTTAGTGGCATCTAACCGTAACCACAGTTTATTTTACAATAACCACACTCTTTCCCAAGCTTTTACCGTCACTCACAGATATTGCAGAAAGAAAGAAGCATCGTCTGATATAACATCTGTACATAACGTCCAATATGAGCCGTCGGTTGTACAGTGAGTCTGAGGCAGATCAGTCTCACTGAACTGATTCATCACTTTGTTTAAACATTGACACAGAATGGCATCAGAGACACTCAGCAGCAGTGGGTTTATTTGTACTCGTATATGTGGTTGGTAGTGAGTTCAATGCTTTCTATACATTATTATAAAATACTTAAACAGAAGTCTTTCCCCTTTTTTTGCAGTGACTTTAATTCACAGGCTTGAATCAGACGCTCTGACAGTTTTACGAAGCTGGCTGCATTTGACACTTTTATTTAATTTTGCATGCAAACCGTGATTTTGTGCTGAGGACGAGGAGTGTCACATTTTGCCGAGTTTTGCATTTTGAGACTCAGTGAAAATTGAGTCAAAGCTTCATAAAAAAAAACAGTGAGAGAAAGAGAGAGAGAAAGATACATGAAGAGGGAGAGAGAGAGAGAGACAGATCAGTCTGTGTTACTGTCAAAGTGCAGTGGAGCGCAACACACTTCTCCAGGGTACAGCACACATCACTCTGATTCCTCTGTGTGTGTTTCTGCATGTATGAACTGGTTGTTTGTGTGTGTGCACATCTTTCTGTATCTGTGTGTGCTTGGTTTTCTGTGTTCATGTCTGTTTGTCTGTCTCTCAATGTGTGTGTGTGTGTGTGTGTGTGTGTGTGTGTGTGTGTGTGTGTGCGTGTGTGTGTGTGTGGCCCCAGGCCTTGCACTGAGAGTGTAAAGACTCCAGTACTGGTCCAGGGGTTACAGAGGGCTGCTACTGAATCCTGACCTACATCATGCTGCTGCTGAGGCCGAGTCTCTTTAACTTCAATGCATCTTAACTTTGGCACAAACACAAACCACCGCTATCACAGTTTAGTCGTCACTCTGTGGACATAATGACAGAGTGTCCTTCAGGGCGTGAGCTGTCCTTTTATGTACTGAGCTGACAGGATTGTGACACACTTACATTTTGCATCTGAGACCTTCTCTGTTTCCCCTGAGTTCTCTAATGTCAGTATTAATGTGAGATAATCTACAAAGAGCCGTGCAGTTATCAAAAAGTGACATTTTATTAGAAGTCAATGCTGTGAACTTCTCGTAGGACCTTGCCTTTTCTTTTTTCTTTTCTTTCTTTATTTTTACATTTTCTTCCTCATTTCTGTCTTTTTCTTTCCCATATATACATCTGTTATCTGATCGGTTATTAGATTTACATATTACTTTATTTGCAATGGTTTAATTTGTTGTGTCACTTCTCTTAAGGAAACAAGGAAAAAAGTGCAGTTTATTGTGATAATAATTATCAGTTTTTTTTTATTAATGTCTATTGATGCCGTCATTTCAGTCAAATCTGACTTGGTTGAACCCTTGAATAGGGAACCTTTTTCACAGCAGCCATTTCAAATTTTGTATAGCACCAATTCATAACAAAAGTTCTCTCGGGACACTTTTCAAATAGAGCAGGTCTAGACCGTTTTTTACAGAGACCCAACAGTTCCCAACATGAGCAAGCACCTCGCAAGAGCGGCAAGGAAAAACTTGCAGAAACCTCGAGCAGACCCCAGCCCTAGGTGGGTGAAATAGTAGGGTAAACACAGATACTAATTAAGGTTCTGTCCCATTTAGCGTAGCTGAGTGTCTCCAGTGATCCCACATGAACAACAGCAGCACCCTGCCCCTTTTCGAGATGAATGGAACTGAACCTTAATTAGTATCATTGGTAACACCTGTGTTTACCCGACTATGTCAAAATGGCTGCTGTAAAAAAGGACCATTGTCTCACATTATGTGTCATGGAGGGTCAAGAATCTGCAGAATTTGGTTCCAGCACTGTAGCAGCTGTTTCCACTAATTAACACACCTTCAGCAGAATGAGAGGAAATAATCAGTGAAATCAGCTGCTGACACAGAAACCTGTGGGTTCTTCTCTCCTGGTCTCTAACTTATACATCATGGCTTATACATAATCATCTCTTACCTTTTTATATAAAGAGTGTGAATCATATGCCATGTTGTGTAACACAATTGTAGTCAGGCATGCCAAAAAAGTTACAAACTAAAGAACTCACTGACCTTGTATTGGAGGCTGAACTCCCACTTTGCCACTGTGCTTTTATGCTGCCTTGGTCCTTTATCAATACAGATACTTGAATACTTGAATGTTACACGGCAGGATAATATATGTAGTATTTCAGATCTTTAAACCAGTCTGATACCGACCTTTTCTTAAAAGCTGAATCTCTGAGAAGACAAAAGGACACATTTTAGCTTTCTTCTTATTTCTTGTGCTGTGTGAGTTCAATCCAAACTCTGATCTAGTGCTCGACCGATATGGGTTCAATGGTCGATGCCGATATTTAGAGGGCAAGTCTGCCAATGTCTAATATATTATGCCAATATCAAAACAAAGAAAAGTCATGTATAATTATGTTCTATTATACAGGAAATTCAGGTATATGTTTACACCACCTTCCCAAAACTCACAAAGGGAAGCACTAACATAATTATCTCAAAATGCCAGATAATCAGCCCAATTAATCAATCGCGCGATTAATCACTATCACTACTCTGATCTGTAGTGTTCCCTCTCGTCAGGCCAAGACTCACGAACCGTCTCATCACCGACACCGGGAGGAGCTGCACTTTGTGGATGAGTATGGCCAACCAATCACTATGCAGGTGGAGGGAAGAAGGGGGCATGGTCACAGGACGCGGCGGTCTCATTGCGCAATGGAGTGCAGTGCTCCGACAGAGAGACACTGGGAGGCCCTGAGAGCCATGGGACTGATGGAGGGAGAGGAAGGCCAGGGAGATGGCTACAGTACAGGGTAGGTACTCTTGGAAGGCTGTGTGATGGGGGACAAGAGGTAAAGGGTTTCTGATTATATTGGGACGAGTACAGAATGATGTGACTGAGGGTGTCCTGGACAAACAGGCAAACTGAGGACGTAGCAACAAGCTTTAGATTTCTAGCAACGCTTTTTGTTATTTCTATATTTACGAGTATTTTGATACATTTTACTCTGATGATACTTGTACTCATAAAAAGTACATTATTGTGCTAATATCAGCCAAGTACTCGCTCAGCTCTACCTGTAACTGGAGTTAAAATTTGGGATAGGCATTAAAAAAGTGGAAATTAAGTAGAAGTTTAGGACCACTGTGAAACTTTGTGGATGGGCTAATGGGTTATGACTGTGGATGAGGATCAAGGTAAGCAAAGGTAAGGAACGAGTTGGGATCTGGATATAAATGTTTAAAAAAACATTGGGACACAGGTAGACATTTGGAAACTGATTAAGAACTCTTACCTGGGTAAAAGCCCACAAATATGGTACATAACTGGGAATTTAATCAATAGAAAGGACAGAGGCCACTGGTTTTGACTGGCTAAAGGTTTGTCTGTTGGGTAAATGTTTAGGAGTTTGTGTACAAAGTCAGAAATTGTGAAAAACTTTGGGACTACGGTCAAAGTTTGGGAATAGGGTAAAGGATTGTAATTAGGTGTAAATGGTGAGGAGTCGGGTAAACAATTGGGACATGGGTATAATTTTGGACAAGTTCTGAACATTGGGTAAAAGGTCTAGAAAGGGTAAAAAATTTAAGACCAGGATAAAAGTGTAAAAACAAGGTACAAGGGGCAAAAAAGACTGGGCCATCAGTGAAAGTATGGGAATGGGCTTAAGTGAAAGGAGTGAGGTCAAAGGTATGAAGAGAAGACTTTTACTTTTGTCTATTGATGGTTCAAATGGAGGGACAATATTTTTCACTTGAGGGTTTGGGGGCAAGTTCAGTTTGCAAGGTCAGCATGATGTTACATTGAGTTTCTTGGCACTCTCATAAATATGCATGAGTGGAAGGTTGTTCTGCTGAGACAGCTGTCAGTGCCAAACATGCTATGATTACACAAGTGGATGAAGACTATAAATATTCAGAGGAATTTACATATCATGGATGATGCCGTTTCCATTCATGCACATCTGAACAACAAATAGACCTACATGAAGGTTGACGTTCTCAGAGCACTCTCTGTCTAATAAATTCTCTTTGACATCACCTCCTTATAAAACATGGCATGATCTGATTGCTTCCTCCACACAGGCCTTACTATGGTCACATGACCATGTCACCTGACCTATACTCCGCCAATAGTCACATGATGATGTCTCCTGATGTCTATCCACCCAATGGCTACCTGCCCCGATCATCGAATGACCAGCACCCGGGTAATAACTACCTACCCAGTGTCTCCTACAGCTTAGATCACCTGGACAGACTGGACTACCAGGTAATTTATTGTGTTATCAAATTCAGAGCAGCAAAACAATGTAGCACTGAGCGACACATGCTAGTTGAAGTGATGCTTGGTCTGTTTATAAACAGGAAAAAAAAGGCGAACTGCTCACTAGTTTGACAGTTTGATCCTAGTTTCACGAGTCTCTGGGTTGCCACTGACAGGCCTGGAGACTGGATGCAATTGGATCGACCTACAGTCAATCAGAGCAGTGAAATGTGTGACTTTTCAAATTTGGACCGGTTATCCCATAATGTTGCCCCATATTAAATAAACGGTTGTCATTGGCCCAACCAGATTCAAAGCTGGTGGAATTCTGTCTGAATGGAAGTCGATCTGCCAGACCAAATGAAGCATCATGAACTCTGCAGATTTGCCTGGTTCCCAGTCTAATTATATGCTACAAAAGCAATCAATGGAATCTTGTTTTTTTTTTTCTATTCCAGGGTCCAGAAATGTTACCCTACCAACCCAACTCAGAGAGCTGTCTAATTGGCTGCTACAACACAGAAGAGATGGAGCATAAGAATTTCCCCAGACAGGTAGGTTTTGCATCACTACTATGCTCCAGAGGTAGAGCGGGTCATCTACTAATCAGAAGGTTGGCAGTTCGATTCATGGCTGCATGTCGCAGTGTCCTTGAGCAAGATACTGAACCCCAACTTGCCCAAACCTCTTATGCTGCTTGTCTAACAATGTTGTTTGTATTAATATAGTTTTTTTTATCCTGGTACATAGCACATAGACTGACTTGGTGCATCCATTGTACTTGTCTAATAATGGACTCGATATCTTTCTCTTTAGTCGGACTATCAGCCTCCTTGGCGGTCTGATCGTGTTCTTGGATACCTTCCCCTCAGTGAGCTCGACAGCGGGCTGGGATGTGGCCCTGACAGCCCACATCATCGGGTGCCATTCTCCGAAGCCGAGACAGACGCCATGTCATCTCTGCCAGGTCACACCCCTTCCTCCCAAGGCTCCTCTTCTTCCTCCGAATCCCTGATTTCCTCTGAACCCAGTGACTCAGGCTTCCACAGCGTCAGCACCGGGGAGCACAGACGACTGCATAAGATTCATGGAAGCCACGCCCATCGACAAACACACCATCTCCGCTCAGGCCACTCCCCTCGAGAGCAGAGAGGACGCTGGGATTTGGAGTCCATCCCTGAGACAACTCCAATGACTCATTCTGGAGCACCGCAGGCATCCCGCTGCACTGTGGGTAACAGCACGACCACAACAGTTCACTTCCACAGAGCTGAGAGGAGTCCCACCTTGCCTCGCCACCGCTCCCCGCCTTCTCCTTCCGTTGGTTAGTAAAACCTTACAAATCATTTTCTAACAGGTCCAGTATGTAACATTTAGGAGAAATTGAATATAATATTCACAGGGATCTTTTCATTAGTGTATAATCACCAGTTTGAGTTTGTTTGTTTGCTCGTTACCTTAGCTTCCTGAGCTTTCGTTTGGTGTGCATTGTTCTATTTGGGATTAGTAGGACCTGATAAACATTAAAAAACAAGCATTGTCTTTGAACAATTAGTAGTCTTCACAAAAAATGATGTCCTCAAATGGTAATGACTCTAGGTAGAGTAGCCACTGTACCCCATTAGATGCCACTATCAGATTATTTATCCAAAACAGATATGAGTTCTGGAAATTGGAACTGGACATTAGTGGTTAGAATTTTAGGGATCTTTGAAAAGAAATGTGAATATTTTTGTGTCTATACATACTTACAATATTGTCAATTAGTATAATGGTAAGTATATATAATTCTTCTCCACTCGTCAAAGAAGCAAAGCATTGTAAACATGGAACGACGTCTCCGAGAATGGTTAATCTGAAGAAACTGACTCTGTGATCCTCCTTAGCGAACACATTATTGTGTTGTTTTACACCATGAAGCTACGGCTCCCACAGTAGGGACGTCACAATACCAGAAATATCCACCGTATCTGCACCAGAGAGCATCTGTCTCTGTGTTTCTCTGCAGAGCATCTGCAATTGTCACTAGACTGTACACGAGGTACCTGTCAGGAAGAACTGAACCCCCAGTACCTATGGTACTGTGGAAAAAATAAGCATCTTCACATTTTCAGAACTTGGCATCGACTTTAAAAATATTGATTCCTGAAGGTAATTTTTGGTGTTAGGCCAAAGGTGGTGGTTCCTGGCATGTTTTTCAAGGCACTGAGTGCAGAGTTTTCCCTGGCAGCAAGGAGTTCTTGCTATAATGGCTAATGGAGATGTATGCATTTAAAAATGTAACATAAGACCTGATTACTTCTTTCTGTCTGCAGGGTGTCGTACTGAGCCCTGCCAGCGGAGGGCGCTGTGGTTAGAGCAGCAGCATGGAAGAGGCGGGTTTATAGAGGCTCCAGGGCGGAGTCGAACAATAACAGATTTGAGTGAAGGACAGCGCCGCCGCAGGGCCAGTCACCCAAACATGCCAGATCAAAACAGACTCCAGAACAGCCAACCTGGTCCAACCAGCAACACGCTGGGGCCAAGGAGCAGGGCCAGTTATCCCAGTAACTGCCACCCCACCACTCACCTCAGCATAGACAGAACCAGTCAGTCCAATCATCAGAATGCACTGAGAACCAGTCAGGGCACAAACCGGAGCAGAGAGGAGGACTCCCTCTCCAAGAGTCCAGGATCTGGCTCCAGCGGAGCGTCAGACTGGCGTGGCATTCAGACTCTCGGAAATCGAGCAGGCAAACCTAAAGGTTCCTCTGCTCCTTTCTACAGCACCCTGGGAGCCCCGCAACGTAGCCCTCACTCTCCACCCTCTCCCCGCTCCAGACTGTCCAATCAGAAGTCAGTCAGGAACCAACTGCTCAGAGCCCGAGCTTACCGATTGGCCAGGGAACGCAGTGAGGTCACAACAGACGAGGAGGTGCGAGGAGAGGGGGAGAAAGAAGGCGAGGAGGAAGGGGATGACGGCCGATGGGCGGGGAGATACTGGAGTCGGACCGAAAGGAGACGCCACCTGGCGCTGTCACGGCAACACAGAGAGAGGAGGGGAGGAGGGGAGGAGCAGGCCGGGGGACTTCAGGGCTCGCTGTCGTCTCAGACAGTGCTGGAGCTGAGCCACATGAAGCAGAACCGACTGAGGAACAGCAAGCTGCTTGATGATTGGACAACTGTGGAGGAGCTGCTGACTCATGGAACACGGGTGGAGAGCGACAGTCAGCTATGTCCAAGCCCTCTGCTATCGGTTACTACCGTCTGACGGGAAAACATCTGACACACAATCCCGGAGTTGGTTTCTGCTCATCTCCAATCCAACACTCAGACCCAGATTCATCAAAGTTTGCGTAATAAAATGATTTATCGGCCGAGCATCAATACTGGCCAGTATTCGCATGACATCCGCCTATCGGTGAATCAGATGGCCAATGTTGTGTTGGTTTTTTCCAACTTGGATATTGAAGAAATAATCACCTCCAAGAAGAGACTAAGAAAAATAAAAAATAAAATAGACTTAGATATCACCTGCAACAAAGCAGATATTCTTATTTCTGTAGATTTATTTGTTTCCCTGGCACAAAAGGGCAAATTAAAAAAAAGATCTTTTATCAGCCAAATTGTTATTTTAAACATCGGTATCAGCCCACAGTTTCACAATCGGTGTTCCCTATTGCATTCACATTATTTTATAGGCACAGTCGTGTAAGTCAAAAATTCACCCAATCAACAAGCTCCTGTAACAACACAACTCAATAACCATACCTACCACTACCTCCCGACCTACCACTGACAGAATCATGTTTACTGTCAGTTCTTTAAATTGTTTCCACCAAAAATCCTTATTTGCATAGAGGGTAAGGCCTTCACTAGCCAGCTAGTTAGCTCATTAACTCATTGAGATCTAGATCTGTATTTTAAAGAAGATTCCCTGAGGTAATCAACTGTTGATGTGAAGCTGGAGGACCAAAACTATGCGCTAAAAGACGCAAAAGGTTGCATAGGTTTGGCAATACTAGTGTCTAGTGTCCCTTTCACATTGCATTGCGATGCTAAAATAATGATATAGCTTATATACTCATAAATGGATGCTCGCAGATATGAGCCAGTGACAAATTAATGTCAAATGCCCCTGTTGGACACAGAGCATATAATTTAAGCTTTAATTCAACTAAAAAAGTGCCGCAATCTTAGTGAATCTGGATCTCGGTCAGATGGAAGTTGTTATTGTGTCAGAGTCTCTTTGGATGGGTCAAGAAGTACAAGAACAGCGGCAGAACTGGCCAAAGCTACTAAGGTGGCTCAGGCGGAAAATTACCAACAAGCAGAAAAGGTTGAAACAAACATAAATCGTAAGTATGACAATCTTACCAACCCTGGAGAAACTGACTGAATTTGAACTGAAACCAACACTACTGTCTGGCGAGAACCTCTAAACCAACACTTGCTACAGAAACGAGTTTCTGCAGGTTTGTACAAGTAAAAGGAAACTAAAGAGCTGCATGAGCTTCAGACTCTGCAGTGTTAACAGACTCACTGGTTGGACTGGTCAGATTCTTCACACACCAGACCGCCTGTGACCGGTCTGAAATATCACACAGTCAATTGTGTTGCCTTGTGGAAAAGTGTCTCCATTTCCTTTTCTGGTTTTACTGCCTTTGTTTTCGTCTCTGTGCCATAAAATGTCAAGGTCGATTCTCCGAAATTACAAAACTGTTGGGACGCTCTGCTCGCTGTAAGCTTGTTAGAGGATTTCTGCACCTTTATGATCAAACAGCCCCCAAATCCCCTAAGACGCTGTTTCACCATGCTGTTGTTCTTTTTTAGTCACCACTTTCACCAGTTTCTCCTGGGTGGTTTACCATTTTAATCTCCGTGCACTCACACAGACTTGGAGTGTAAATAAATGAGACGCTATAGAGAGGGCTCCACGCAGCACTGTTTGCAAATGGGTTTCTATTCGGAAGAGACTTTGTTTGGGTTCTTTCTATTCTGCTGCATTCAGTACATTTATTTATCTGTTTATTAAATGAAGATTGGTCAGAAATCAGAAATCGCTACATTATCTTTAAAAGAATAGTTTGACATTTTGGGAAATAAGCTTTTTTACTTTATTTCCAAGAGTTAGATGGAAAGATAAGTTAGATCCCACTCACATGTCTGTACTTTAAATATGAAGCTACAGTCAAGAGAAGGTTAGCTTAGCATAAAGACTGGAAGCAGGGGGAAACGACATCTTTCATCATAATACATAAGTTAGTTATCATGTTAACTGGGGAAGCCAACTAACATATTCCTTCAGACAGTATTTTGCTAGCAATAACATTAGTGAGCAAGCAGGTGAAGGTTAGCCAGCCATGTTATCTGGTGCCGGCCGCACCGCAATGCCAGCAAACAAAGTAACCTGCAAACGCCAAGCCAGCCAGATCAGCCTCGGGAGTCTGGAGGAAGATAGCTGACAGTATTTTGCTACGTTACAGCCAAAATCACAATTTCACATATTTTACAAGCTTTGCAGTAATGTTAATGTTTGACTTTGGACTCTGTGTTGGACTCTGTGTTGGACTCTGTGTTGTGGACTCTGTGTTTGACTCTGTGTTGGACTCTGTGTTGTGGACTCTGTGTTGGACTCTGTGTTGGACTCTGTGTTGTGGACTCTGTGTTGGACTCTGTGTGACTCTGTGTTGTGGACTCTGTGTTGGACTCTGTGTTGGACTCTGTGTTGGACTCTGTGTTGGACTCTGGTGGACTCTGTGTTGTGGACTCTGTGTTGGACTCTGTGTTGGACTCTGTGTTGTGGACTCTGTGTTGGACTCTGTGTTGGACTCTGTGTTGTGGACTCTGTGTTGGACTCTGTGTTGGACTCTGTGTTGGACTCTGTGTTGTGGACTCTGTGTTGGACTCTGTGTTGTGGACTCTGTGTTGTGACTCTGTGTTGGACTCTGTGTTGTGGACTCTGTGTTGGACTCTGTGTTGTGGACTCTGTGTTGGACTCTGTGTCTGTTTGGACTCTGTGTTGTGGACTCTGTGTTGGACTCTGTGTTGGACTCTGTGTTGGGACTCTGTGTTGTGGACTCTGTGTTGTGGACTCTGTGTTGGACTCTGTGTTGGACTCTGTGTTGCCCACTGTTGGCACTGTAGGGAAGCGGAGAGAGAAGGCACTCGGGAGCATAAAGGTCACAACCTTTGACCCTCATCCCTACATAGAGACACATAGAGACACATAGAGACACATAGAGATCAGTCCACAGGCAGCAGAGGAACAAAGCTATGTTCACACACTGGCAATAAAAAGTGATTAATACATGAAATGCTTCCAAATCTTACAGACAGAACCTTTAATGGACAGATGTGAGATTGGTATCGATCTTAACTCTTAGCAAGTAAATATCGCAAAATGTCGCACTATTCCTTTAATTTGTTTCACCTGACATTTGTGAAAACACCATAGTAACACAGAGATAACACAGTGACCAGACTCAGTACATATCACAACGTTTACCTACAAAATTATCAACAGTAAATAATGGATGAACTCTTTAATCTTTAAATGACTACATGAGACTTTTATCCAGCCTGTCAGTGATGAAATTAAGTTTTTCTTTTCCAAAATATCAAACCAGATCCTTTAAATCAAGTCTGTCAGCTGATTCTGTGCGTGCGGGGCGGTGGAGTCTCATTACTGTTAGTGGGATTACACATGGTGACAGATATCTCTGTTATCTTGTCCCAAGGGCTGCTATAAGCCAATAATGATTACAGGCACCTTTGAAAGAGGTTGGACTAATCTGAGAAATGTAAATCAGGGTTAAATGTTATGATGTAATAATGTGTTATATAATGAAACTGTTCAATGCAATTTTGTTAAAAATAAGAAAAATGTCCATTTATTTTCATATTCTGTCGAGGTTGGGTGGAGAAATCCTGGAGACAGTTTTCAGGTCACGAAGTTGGACTCGTCAAATGAATATATTTAAGGGTTTCTTTTTCTAAACCGTGTGTGTGTGTGTGTGTGTGTGTGTGTGTGTGTGTGTGTGTGTGCAAGAAAGAGAATATAAAGTTTGATACTAACTTGTTAGTAGTGTTTAGCCAAAGATATTGTGTAACTTTGGTTTGTGGACAATCTAGAACAACTATCACTGTATGACGTAAAAGTATATTTTATAACCATATTAGTTTTTTATATACTTTATCCTTTATTTTGCCTTGAGTAGATTACTTCGCAGACATCCTGCTATGCTAGTGTATCTACGTGGATGTTAGTGTACAATCAACTGTTAGCATAAACAAGCTTTATTATTACACTCTAAACCTAGCATGCTAACTCATGATTAGCACAGCATTTCAATGATTGAGTCATAAAGTCACTGTATTTTTTCACAGACTGGGATTTTATTTTGACAAACATATCTGAGAGGAAGTGATGCTCTAAAACATATTACAATCTAATTTAAGTTGAACCTTCGTGGACGCATTGATTAACTGCAGCACGCAGCGAGCTAGCTATCGATCTTCAGATGAACAGCCACGCTGAAGGGAAACAAAGAGAATCCATATAAAGGGAAATTTCAGATTTCATTTCACTGTGATTCTTGTGAAATGGTTGCCATCGTGTGCGGCCATTATCTTTCTTTTTGAGAGTCAGATGAGAAGATCAATCAATCTCATGTCCAGTGTGAAACATTCAGGGGCCGATTACTTAAATAACGCCTAGGCGATGAGCGTTGGGAACAAACAGCGGGTGTGCCTGGATATTCGAGGACACGTCGAGGTCTAGATGAGTAAACTCTTACTATAACTGAGTGTTCTTGGGTTTACCCCCACTACACCCCTGCTCTGTAACTCGCAGTCAAACAGGAAGACAGTGGTGAAGTAGTAAAGCCGTCGGCTCAACACCTTCTGCTGAAAGGTATATTTAACATTTATGTGTGTCTAAAAACATCTCTGCTTGATCGGCCCCTAAAGTTGTCCCCTAATTAAAGGGTTCAGATCGGATCGTCTTAGTCGGCCCACTCTGTATAAGTCCGATAGTCTAATTTAGTTGGTTGAACAGATAGATAACGCTGTACTCGCTTATCCCAAGTTAGTTGGTATTTCTTTTCATTTCGGTCTGAGTCAAGCTGGCAGCTTTATCGGCCTTTTCACCGAATCGGTGCCTTTTCCAACCACATCCTGACTCAATATCTGTATTTAACACACGGACATGAGATTAACACTCATCTTCTTGTCTCACTCTCAGAAGAAAGTTGTAAGTATATTTCCCAAAATGTTGAAAATAGATAAAAGACCTGTTTTAAAGATAAACGTTGGACAGTAAATTGAGATTATGTTCTTCAGGTTTTGTGAATCTGGTCCTGAATCTGATGTTTCTTTCAGGGCTGTGTGCAATAATCAGAGGTCTAGTTGCCATACAGCCGGCCTGCAGCCTGTTGTCGGTCAGCTTCCTTCTGTACAACTGCACTGTAACGTCTTGTGCTCAGGTTTTTGTGCGTATGACGTCAGGAAGGGAGTCAATGTGTGAGTGAATGAGTGAGTGTGATGAGCTCATGATGAAGGGTTGTGCGACTGCTTTGACGATATGGATTTTTGTATTTTCAGTTTCCATGCACCCTGTGACCTCACAAATGTACATGAACTTTGACTCATGATGTCCGTGAAAGTGAGCGAGATCTTTGATGGAAGTTCTCATCACCCAGAACTCGTGTAAAACAATGTCAGTAAACTGTGAACATTTAAATATCTTTACTGTGAGTTTGGCTTTCTGTGAAATGGAATTTAAAAGGTGTGCTCCAGAGACCATAAACAAAAAGATCTAAATCAAAGCAGAGGAGGCCGACATATTCTGACTCTTAGTGTCTAATATGGGTCCAAAGACAAACATTAATCCTATCTACATCATACGTCTCCAATGTTAGTTATAGTTACCAAGGTTAGCTAGCGGTTGGTAAACTACCATTACCCAAACAAGCACAGCTACTAATTTCTCACATTAATGTTACTGACCCTGAACGTAGCATTAATAATTATATTTACAGAAAATAAACGTGTTTTTCCAAGAAATTATCAGACATAAATCATAAAAACATTTAAGTGTGACTGAGATTTCTTTCATTCAAAAATATGCGTCAAGTAATTTTCATCGGACACAAATGAAACCGGATACAAACATTTAAATACTGAGCTGCTGAATAGAAACACAGTTTAACTGAAACAGAAAATAGATGTTTTAAAGCCCTGAAATGTGTCGAGGGTTAGTGGGGACGAGACGCTCAGCTGAGTTCATAAATTCAGAGGACAGCTGGGTCTGAAAATCTTGCCTAATGCAGCTTTTGGGGAATCAAAGCATGATGGGAAAACAGAAACATATGCTGCCTCCCAGTTCAGGGTCCGGGTCCCGAAAGGACACGACCCAACAACTGCACAAAGTTTCTGTCCCTGCAGTTAATGATATTGGGCTGTCGTGCGTCAGGGGTGCAAGAACAGCAGCTTCCTTTATAAAGTGAACTAGTGATGAGTCACCCTCGTGCACAAATCACACACCGATAGTAAGTTTACACATAATCCAAAAATAGCATATTGATCAGTCCCTCCGGTCCCAGCTGAAGCAAACCCAACCGATCACCGTCTCTCTGGAATAAGTTGATTTTTATTTTGAATTAATTATTTCACTTTCTGCTGCAAAAAAATTTGTCCAAAAACATCTGAACATGCATCACAGTTTTCTAGAAAGAAAGAAGTCAGACATTTTAGGCCTTAAATGTCTGTTTGAGGGGCTGATATTGTATTCTAACAGAAATGTTGGATTTCCATCATGTTTCCGATATTTTGACCTTTGACTGGATCAGCTGTTATTCTCCATCAGCCATTAAACTCACAACAAAAGGTGGAAACAAGCAATTAATTCACATTATCTGGACATTCAGTCAAACTGTCTGCTGTGAAAAAGGCCTGTTATTACATACAAGCTGTTTTACTCTAAATGGGACCATCAGTTATTCTGTATGGAAGAAGACTGAAACTAGAGACTGAGACCAGAAACTCATCAGGAAACTGTTTACTGAGCTCATACATCAACTGAGAAGTCGACTCATTTCCGCTTTGGCTTCACTTCACAGACTCAGAAGTTCTGTCCACTTCAATCCTCCTAAATCTTCCCCACTGGACCTTTAAAATCCTGAACCAGCACCGGTTCTGGTCCTGGTCCGGGTCCTGGTCCTGGTCTTGTATCACCATGAGCACTGACTGACAGCCCTCTCCACTGACAGCCATGTTGGCTCTTCAGTACTGCTCCGTGACCGTTTCTATAGCAACTGGTGTTTCTACGGCAGCTGATCTCTCAGCTCTTGGCCTCGTCACCATGGTGATGTTTTGTGGAGGACGATGGGACTTTATTTACAGCTGACACTCGTCAGCCTTGCGGAGAGGACCGGCGGCGGCGGCACCTGGACTGACCCAGAGTGCAGGTTCTGGTCCCAGCAGCAGGCCGACCGCTGGGAGAACAGTACACGTGTTTAATGTCTGTTGTCACTCCACCGAGCCTCCAGATGTTGGTTCTGAGGAATCTGACAGTAAACTGCGTCATCGATTGGGCTGAAGCAGGGCGACCTCTGCTGGCCACAGTGGGGGAACTACAACCACTGGACATAAAGAACTACAAAAATAAAGACTGTTTCTGTCCAGCTGATTACTGACACACTGAAACTACAGAGAACATAACAATCTCTCTTTATTCTCTATTCATTGTTTTCCTTATATATCTTATATTAATTAAAGGAAGGGGAAAATAGACTATAACTGTGATAGATATATGCTATCAGAGGGAAAGGGTTGATATTTACTGTTTATTTAAAAGATTAAACTCTTAAATTCAACTTTAATACCATTAATATGTTTATAAAATTATGTAAAATCAGTGACATTAACAGTAAAAGGTATTAGTTGTGTAATTTTAATGTATTAGTTAGTGAACTGACAGATATGTTGTATAATGATGGAAGTTGAATAAATGTTGTTTATCAGTGTATAAGCATTGGTAAACTGTCCAAATACAGTTGTTATCAGTTTAAACAGCAATAATTACTGTAATCTCACAGATAATGACTTTTATTACACTTCTATAACTTTTAACATTCACATTAAAATAATAACAATCCAATAATAACAGCACTCTGCTGTCAATGTAAGTCTGATTATTGTACAGCTGGATTTATAGATCATTGTTTACAGTGTAAATATCTTTAATTAAATGGGGGGAAATAACATCAGTTTAAAAATACAATACAAAGATAAAAATTAAAATATGTAGGCCTATATTTAATATTTAACAGAACTAAATAAGGATTAAGAAGTTAAATATTAATAATAAAGAAACTCAAATTTAAATCATTTAAAAGAACAGTTTGATGCAACCACAACGTTTTTACTACGTTTGAATGAACTTTATTTATTTATTGAGGCACAGTGCAACAACGCGACATAAAAACATCAGAAAACCAACATGAGAGATTAGACTTTATTAAAAAGAGACGTCTTTAATGTGTGTCTGGGTTCGAATCCCGGCTGGGGGCAGGGTACTGGAGCAATGTGTTATTCATATTTTATGCTTTTAATTTGACAGATTTTTGGCTTCCTGAACAAACAACAACAACAACAACAACACCACCACCACCAACAGAAATGTCCCGCAGTTAAAGGCCGTCATGTCTCTGATACTGAAAGCAAAGGTCTGGATCCTGGTTGAATCATCAGAGAACAGAAATAGAAGAAAATATCTGGTTCCTGAAGATCAATACGACCGCACAGCTCGCCGCTCCAACGCCGAGAATAAAAATGAAGACCTGAGGAAAACGTGTGCGTTTGGTTCCTAACAGGCCTTTTTCACAGCAGGTATTTTACACAGCTGCTTCAGTTTCATCCATCAATCAATCAATCAATCAATCAATCAATCAATCAATCAGGTTAGTGCGTCACAGATGATTGACAGGTCGATAATAAGACAGAGAGAGTGGAGAGAAATAAAAACTGAATAAATAATAGATCAGATTAATTAAAAAATACAATACAAAAATAAAAATAACAATAAATTAACAGGTAAAAAAATAAGAAATAAAATAAAATATATCAATCATAAAGAAACTGATTCACAAGAAAATCGAAAATCTAAAGATAAAAGAAGTCATAAAATGAGTAAATAACGTCTATAAACGGCCTCCTTTCTGCCTCTGTAGTTCACTACAGGTGTGAGAGTTAATGCTGAGGATATAAAGAGGCTGCTGCACCTGAACGCCTCCACGTTTACTCCACTCTGTGTTCAAGCAGTCTGAACTGTGTGAAAGCTGCTGAAGAAGGTAAAGTTGCTCTAACGGCTGAAACATGAAAACTCTAATATCTGTACGCTGGGGCCTGCAGTGTGTCTGTAACAGTCTGTAAACAGTCTGTAAACAGTCTGTAAACAGTCTGTAAACAATCAGTAAACAGTCTGTAAACAGTCTGTAAACAATCTGTAAACAATCAGTAAACAGTCTGTAAACAATCTGTAAACAGTCTGTAAACAATCAGTAAACAGTCTGTAAACAGTCTGTAAACAGTCTGTAAACAGTCTGTAAACAATCAGTAAACAGTCTGTAAACAATCTGTAAACAATCTGTAAACAATCAGTAAACAATCTGTAAACAGTCTGTTAACAATCAGTAAACAGTCTGTAAACAATCAGTTAACAGTCTGTTAACAATCAGTAAACAGTCTGTAAACAATCTGTAAACAATCTGTAAACAATCAGTAAACAGTCTGTAAACAATCTGTAAACAATCTGTAACAACTGAACAATGAACCCAAACAGTGAACTCAGGAACTGCAGGAAGTTTGTGTAAAAAGATTTATTATTTATGTTTTCTAGCACAGAAACTAAAATGTGAAATAACAGAACTGTGATATTAAATGTTAAAGATGACAGTTAATCTACATCTGAGTGAAACATGTTTTCACTCATACCTTCAGAACTTAATAATAATTATAATTATCTATGAACTCTTTCACTTGTTTCTATCTGTTCTTCTGTGACTCCGTATTGATTGATCAATCAGTGATTGATCAGTTATTGAGGAGGTTTAACTGTAACTCTCCTCCTCTCAGCACACGTAGAGCAGTTTCCGGTCCCACCCTGCTGTCTGCTGGTCTGCTCAGGCTCAGTTTAAACTGGCTCACTGACCCCCCTGCTGGCTGTGTGATACAGTGTTATGAGTTAGAAGTTGTGTTTTAGCAGAATGTTTAAGGTTCGTGTCAAACGAGAGATTTGGATGAAATTTGAGCAGATTTGTTTCTGTTTATGGAACTTTTTATATAATTCTGAATTATGGATTTAAATCATTTTTAACAATGGTACAGAATTATTCATCTTCTTTTCTGACAGTTTCAGTCTTTTATTGTCTCTGATACTCGGCCTTTGTTCTATTAGACTGTTTACTTAACTATTTACCTCTTTTCTAGCACGCCTTGAAACCAGCAGACCTCACAAACCCCCCCCCTGTTAAGCTTTGGCGACCTGTAGTGGGGGTCCCAACCCTCAGATTGGGAACCACTGTAATAAACCATAATACAACAACAACAATGTGACACCTGGAGACAAATGAGTCAAACAGGATACAAACAGTCATTAATTAACTGAAATATAAAATAATAACAGAACTGTGATATTAAATGTTAAAGATGATGACAGTTAATCTTCATCTGAGTAAGAAAACGTATCCACTAATATCTTCAGAATTAAATAAAGTAATAATAATAATAATAATAATTATCCATGAACTCATTCACCTGTTTCTATCTGTTCTTCTGTGACTCACTCCATATTGATTGATCAGTGATTGATCAGTTATTTAACTGTAATTTTCCTTCCTCTGAGCTCATGTAGAGCAGTTTCCTGTCTCACCCTGCTGTCTGCTGGTCTGTTCAGGCTCAGTTTGCGCTGGTTCACAGGGCCTCACTGACCCCCTGCTGGCTGCAGCGGTGCGGGATTCATGCGTTTGTTTCCTTGTTTGAACATTAAAACACCGACTGTTGATGGCGGCTCGTTAATGTGGAGTTCACTCTCACTATATCAGCCTTTTACACATTGTTCTGGATTCATGGTCGCACTGTGAAGCTCTGTTCGAGCACAATGCTGCAGACTGCGGAAGTCACTCGCTCTGTTCCTCTTGCGGGGCTCCTGCGGGGCTCCTGTGTCCGCTGGAGGTCCGCTGGAGAACCGGAGCGAGAGCAGGAGCTCGGTGAGGTCCATGCCCCCACAACCAGCGCCTGTTCTCGGCTGTCCTCCCGTGTGTGTGTGTGTGTGTGTGTGTGGGGGTGTCACAGCCGAGAACAGGCGCCGGCCTCGGGCTCACCAACAGTGTGACTCACGGTCTCCTGATGGCGGAAATGAGTGTGTATGTGTGTGTCCTCCCCGCGGTGCTCTGTCACACACTGCCGGGCTGTGTGTGCACTTCAACCCCGGGCAGGAACCGAGTGTCCGGGGTTAACGTCCGTCCAGCTGTCCTTCTTTTTATTACGTTTAAAGTGCGCATCGTAGTTCCTCCACCGCGAAGGAGGAAGTAAAACTCCCTCCGCAGCGTCAGTTAGTGCCACTAGTTGCCGCTGCATCCGCGGTGACACTGAGCCTGATCACACCTGCTGTTACCTGCTGTGTATTCAACACGCTGTAAATGAACTCAGTCAGAAATAACTTGATGTGAAACGGTTCCGAATTTACAAGAAGATCCAGATAATCAATAATCAGCCGCAGATAAAGTTTCACAACGTTCACACAGTTTGTCCTCAGTCAGTAACTCTTAAACTGAGAGAGTTGTAAAGGGAGTCTGGTGGCATTGCGGTTACAGTGAGTTCACAGTGAGCAGATCAACAGACATTAAAATAATTTATCAGCTGTAATTATCAACAATAATTTATCCTTATGGTGCATCCCTAATGTTTATATCTGTTTTAATATTCCTTTTAAATCTTTATAATTTATGTACACATCAGTGTTATGATTCATTATTTACTTAATATTATGTACTTGTATTATTAATATCTGCACAATAATACACCACAGAGCGTCAGAATGAGTTGACATGTGGATTTTAGCACAAAAACAAACAGTTCTGAGATTAATTGATCCAGTAAATTCTCTAAAATAATGACACTATCATCCAAAATACATAAACATGTCTGATTTCCTTCTTTCTGTGAAGCACGTTGAGATGCTTTTAGCAATAAATCTGCAGCAGAACTTCGGATCGGTTGTGTTAATTGGAACTGGAGGGACTGATCAATATTTCTGTCATTCATCTCCATCATCATTGATTATGTGTAAACTCTAATATTTGTGAATGAAGGTGATTCATCATTTTAATAAAGATACTGCTGTAATACACATAAAATAAACTTTAGTCCCATTATTCATCTGCTTTCAGGATACTCGATACTTCTCCTTGATTCCCGGGTCACAGGAGGAGAGAGGACGCGAGGAAGCATCAGTTGGCGTCATGAAAAGCAGCGTAGAGTCACTTTATGATGATCTCATGCAGTTTTTTGTCGTATAAAGTTTTTTTTATGTATTTGAATATAAACTGTTGGAATTACATAAAGCCCCACTCTAAAGCTCTGAAACTCTAAAGCTCTGAAACTCTAAAGCTCTGAAACTCTAAAGCTGTGTTCTGAGGCTCTCTGGTGTTTCGGTGTTTAAGGTCAAACACGAAGAAAATAACAACAGAAATCCAGAATTTGTAACAAATTTATTCCATATCTGAAAATATACTTGCTTATAGCTCTATGAAGCAGTGCGGCTGCAGGTCCACACAGACAGACAGACAGGCAGACAGACAGGCAGACAGACAGACAGGCAGACAGACAGGCAGACAGACAGGCTGCGTCTCCACCAGCTGAAGTTCTGATTCCAGTGGAAACACAACAAAAACAGAAAAAGATGCTGCTGCAGCGGCTGTGTGGAAGTTCAAACGGTTCATTATTACTGAGCTTCAAGCTTTAATCAAATAAAAGTGGAGATAAATCCCAAATATAGTTCAGTTGCCCCTAAGGTGGTGTTAATCACTGGGTCCCAACCCGGGAGGTCGCGAGGTCTTCTTGATTTTAAGGCTGTAAGAAAATGTAATAAATACACACAGTAGGCCGATATCTCAGTGTTTGGTTCAACAGCCGAACATCAGGGAGAAGAAAACACTGAATACGACTAAACAGAAGATTATTACGTCTGTTTGATTGTTAAAGATGATGAAAATACAGAATACAGACACAGAATTGTATAAAAAGTTCCATGAACAGGAAATAATCTGCTCAAATAATCATTTTACATTAACTTCTTACAGTTAGAGTTCACTGGGTTCATTGTTCAGTTTGAATATAATATTTATTAAATGATAGAAAAGGTTGATATAAATCATAAAACATCACAGAATTAAACTCACTGATGGTAAAAAACAGCCATTTTGTTCAGAACGGATCTAATTTATTGATATATTTTAATATCTGAGGCCAAGAAGCTCAAATTACACACAGCTGGTCCAACCCGGTCCAGACCTGCTGTCAGAGTCCAGCACAGAGCGAACCTGTCCTCCACTGTGTGACCCTCCAGAGGCTCCGTAGCCTGTCGGTCACATTGTCACTGTCAGGTGTGAAGAGCTGCATACATACTGATAAATATATTGATATAGGAAACAGAATGAAAGCTGCGTGATCAGGATGCAGAAGCTGTGAAGGCATCGCAGTAAGGCTGAATATAAAGGGGGGGCAATATCCGAGCTTCCCTAAAGACGACCGACGCGAACGGTTCCTCCGGTCGGCAGCACCAACGTGACGATGTGTGTGTTCAAACTCTTTAATGACCTCTCGTCCCTTATTAATCACTTGTCCTTAGAGGCGTAACGGTGCAATAGGACACGCCCACTTTGATTGCCAAGGATAACCTGCTGTTTTTTGGGTTCTGAACTGATGTATTCTTGGTCCAAAGCCACTAAACGGTTTTAAAACTCAGTGCCGGAACCGGACTGAAGTCGGTTCCCTGTCGGTGGCAGAGTCGTATAGATGTGTTGCTGTTGAATCGGCGTTGGCGTGTTCGATGTCTTTCCATCCACACCGCCTAAAATACACACACGTGCTCACCACAGTATGACGGACATCAGTCTCCATACTGAGTACAACAGACCGAGACCTCCCGGACCGAGACCTCCGGACCGAGACCCCCGTGGCGGTACACATACACCGACCGCTACCAGATTTAAAAACCTCGTTATTAACTCCTTTGTGGTTCATCAAACTCTCAATCAATCAGATTAAATCTGTTTCCTGCCGATCTATTTTCATCCCTTATCTCGTCATCCACTCCTGTAACCAGTGGAAACAGGTCGCCATAGTAACCACATCCACTACGGATGCACATCCATCAGAGAGAAAGCAGCAGAGGTTTCCATTAAACTCTGGACTCACTGATCGTGTGCAGCCGGTTGATTGTGATTTAATGCCTCTTTAACTGTTAATGTCACACATACAAACACTGAAACACTGGGGGGGTTCAAAAAGTGCAATAAAATAATTTAGTTTCTAAAATCTAAATCTAAATCTTAATCACAAAGTAAAATGTCTCATAAATAATCCTGATAAGAATAATCCGATGTGTTCACAGGGAGCGGTTTCAGTGAGTTAAGGTGGAATTGTGCATTAATCTTTAATCTCTGTTGTGATGAGCTGAACGGAGACAATGCTGAGTTACTGCTGAGCAATCAACAGTCGAGGTTATCGTCTGTACATCCCATAATGTCACACTGTGGATGGAAACAATGCAGGATTTAAAATACTTGGAATAATCAGCGTTAGCACTGAGTGTGATTATAGATCCCGATTCAGACGCTCTCATTGGTTGATTCAGTCGAATATGAGTGAAAATGCTTCAGGATTCCAGCTTTAAGAAACCTCTGTAGTTAAATATGTGAGTTGAACCATATAAAGTCTTTTGGGGGGGATTGACGCAGCCTAAAAAAAAAAAAGCCATTTATTTGCATTAAAATTGTGATTTTGTTTTGTCTGATTCATTAAAAAGTGAGAATATAATCTCACTGTGCGGAGGGTAAAAGTGTGACACACGTCTGCATCTTGCACCAGAAACAAGGAAGTGAGTTTGTCTCAATGTTGTGAAACAATGATCGGTCAAAGTTGCCACATCACAACTTCCCAGAGGGACTGACAGGAGATAAAGGTTCTCAGAAAGCTGCTTCATTAAACAAATAACTAAATTAAAGAATATGTAAGTTATTAAACACTGTGGTATCTGCTGATATGAGATACAATCACGTCTCCCGATGAGACACCTGAACACACCGCTGCTGTAAACCTGTAAACCATTCCTCCGATACTCTTACACTCGTCTATTTGGACTCTGTGAACACATTGTGGTGTTTTTAAAGGACGATGGTTGAAACGGATTATTCTTTCAGGATCATCGAAGCATCAGAGCGACTTTAAGGCTTAAAAAGTACGACTGAACACGTGACCGACGCAGGTCGATGGAGTGTTTGCACAGAAATATCAGAGATTGTGAGAACTAGTTGAAATGTTCTGAGTCAAACTCAAAGTCTAACTTGTTTATCTGAATATTGCACGTTTATTTTTCTAATTTTTATTATATTTTTATTCCCAAATAGTTTTTCTGATAATGTTATAACTCAAAATTATGACTTTCTTTCTCTTAACATTAAAATTAATCACTAACTTTATTTAAAGTCCTTTTTTAAATATTTTATCATGAATTTATTTACAAAATATTAAACTATATAAAAACAGACTTTTCTTGTTAAATTCTGACTTGTTTTTCCAAAATATTCTCTGCGATGTTATTTCCACACACAGTGGCTCTAACATCTCGTGTTGTAGCGTAGTGATTGTACTCTGCATCGTGTGTGTGTGTGTGTGTGTGTGTGTGTGTTAGCCCTCCCCCTCGCTCTCCTCCAGGTTGTGTTTGACCAGAAACTCTTTGATGGTTGGCTGATTGTCTAGCTCCGCCCTCTGCTCCTCCAGGTGTCTCAGAAGCTCCTCCCAGTGACGCTTGTCTCTCCCGGTCTGCCACGACAGCCGAACCACCGCCTGTAACAGCGGCAGCAGGAGGGGGTGTGGCCTGTCGCCGCTCTGCCGCGACACGTCAGTCTTTTCGCACGGTGGGAGGGGCTTGTCTTCGGATGGGAGGGGCTTTTCTTCGGGTGGGAGGGGCCCGTCCTCCGTGTCAGTTTGAGTCTCAGCGGGCGTCAGGACGCGGAGCGCGTGGTCACAGTGATCCCGGGCCTCCTCCAGCTGGTCCACTGCCTGGAAACAGCTCGACAGCCCCACCAGGGTGAAGAACCAATGGGAGGAGGCCGGGGGCGGGGCTTGAGCCTGGTTGTCATAGTAACTTGCCCAGCCCAGTTTCTGTTGCAGTCTCTTGGCGTTGAGCAGCGGACCCAAGGCCTCCTGGTAACGTCCCACCCTCAAAGGAACAACACAGAGTCAAAATACAAAGCTGGGACTCAAACAGTGAGACGATGATACAACACCAGAGAACAATCACATTCTGTGGGCGCCGTTTGTCGCCGCTGTGAAACTCAGTTACCTGATGAACAGCTGTCCCGCCTGCAGGTCCGTCAGGTAGAAGAACTGTCGGACGCACAGCGCCCCCCGCAGTGCGGACAGTGAACACAAGTGAGACAGATACTGTTCAAACGCTCGGCTCCGCTTGGCGATCGTCTCCGCCGTGAAGTTCCGACGCAGCTTCTTCCCTACAGAGACAGACCCGGGTTACAGCGTGCGACGATTCAACCCAACGACCTCCCCCGTGCCCGTCTGCGTGCGACGGACCATTAAAAAATAACGTTGTTATACTTCTACTTACGTGGGAAACAGACACGCTCCATCTGGTCTCCGTGGTTACGTCGCAGCGTGGCGTGGAGCCGCTGGAAGTCGGAGTATCGGCGGGTGATGATGGCCGGAGTCTTATCGCTGCCACCGGACTGGATCACGTGGATGGTGTAGAGCTGGAGAGAGATAGAACAGGCTGAATCAATCAATCAATCAGGCTGAAACTGAACCTCGTTATCAGCTGTTTAAGCAGAGGTCAGGTGCTTTAGAGTACAGCACCAGTGCCTATGTGACCTGCGTTTGAATCACAGGAACTCTCTGTTCTCTCCCCTCCGGACGTTTGAACTCACCACGTATTTGGAGGAGCCATCCTGCACCACGCCGGCGTCGGTCACCTCGAACAACAAGCTGTCCGTCAGCCGGCGCCCAGCGGGGGTGGGGCTTCCTCCGCCGAGTCCACGCAGGCTCCTCCAGCTCTCCTGGAGCTGCCGGGTCAGCAGGGACGAGGGGGAGGGAGCTACGGGAGAGACGCCCACAGGACTGGTGTCTGCAAGAAGACGGGCGAGAGAAGGCTCAGGTGGTGTTTACTGACAGTACTCCACTAATGTACCTGAGCTCCTGATTATTTTCAGGATATTTGATCATTTTAATCAATTTCCAGGTTTTTCCATTACTGGAAAACTAGTCTTTAATTTTCCAGGTTTTCCAGGACGTGTAAGAATCCTTTGAGTCTCCACAATGTGTAACATTAGACAGCCGGACCGTTAAATGCTCAGCAGCATTATTAGACCCTCACCGGTGCTGCTGAGCCCCTCCTCCATCGACTCTCCCAGGAAGTCGGAGTCACTGTCCAGCCCCGACCCCTCGCCGCCATCGCCGCCGTCCTCCGCTGCTCCGCCTCCTCCTCCGCTGTCGAAGCACAGCGTCCCGCCGAGTCGCTCGGTCACGCACTCGTCCTCCTCCTCCAGCTCCGCCTCCCAGCTGTCCTCTTTGAACTCCTCCTCTTCCCGCACGCCTCCCGCTTCCTGCTCGGGTCCCGCCCCCTGACCATCTTTAAACAACGAGCGCTTCAGACGGTCGAGCAGCCGCGACGCCATGACGCCACCCAGCCACCGCGGGGGGGGGGCTGAAGAGACAACAGGGAGAGAGAGAGGCAACACATCGACTGTTCACTGGACTTCTAAACTGATGGTACACACACACACACACACACACATATAAAATCACTTCCTCCAGCGCAAAATTCAGGTTTTATGTAATTATCTAAGAGCTGCTTTGTTCCTGTTTAGACTCTTTTAAGGATTTACAATCTTTTACAAATGCTTCACGTTACGATGATTTGAGAAGTGAAATGTTTCTTTGATGGCAGTAAAAACTCACAGACGTCAACTAGACACTGCTGTGAACCACTGGTTGAATCATGAACAATGTATTCTATAAACTTCTTGTTGTTTTTTATGTTTTTTTATTTGAAACTTAACTGGTAACTAAAGCTGTGAAATAAATGTAGGTGAGAGTTAAAACTACAATGTTCACAGAAAACAGAAGAAAGCTTGAATTAATTAACTGCTGATCAATATATTAAAATTATTTTGCATCAAATTTCACTCTGGCCTCTTCTTTAAGTTTGTATTCAACACTTTAATACCTCAATAACTACATCAGTAACTGCCTCTAGGGGGCGCCGTGGTCAACATAAAGTAGACTGCAGAGTTCCTTTAGCCTGACTGAAGCAGAGTAGAAAAGTGTAGAGAGGTTTATAATGTGTGACGTTTGCTAAACAACTGAATACAGAAAGAGACAGAGTAAATGAACACAGAGAGAGAATAAACTCCCGTCTGAGTCTGTTCACGGTAAAGATCTCTTCCACAATCCGGGTCACGTTTCACAACCCCGGGGCCGGCAGCGGGCCGAGCTGGCTCCGGTTACAGCGCCGGCGGCCTCTCGGAGTGGAAATCATGTCACACATTAATAATGCAGCAGTTTGCTTTGTCCGCCTGCAGCCAGGAGAAACCCAAACACACGGCGTCCCCGAGAGTCCCCACGACGCCACAAAGACCCGTCTGACTAAAGCTGAACCACAAACTGAAATAAAAGTTAAAAATAACAACATACAATCTCGACGTAAGGGTCGGCAAAGCTTCGTGGCCTCTAAGATAACTTAATATACAGAATCTATGTGAGGAAAACTGAATCAAAGTTTAAATTACTATTTAAGAAAGTGTATTTACAGTGTTTATGATCAATAACATCGTCCTGTGTTAGAAAACAACCAAAGAGCAACAATGAAACACTGAATCTGTCAGAAAAGAAGAATAAAAGAAGAATATTTAGTCTGTATGATTGTTAACAAATACAATAAATACACAATACAGACGGAGAATTGTCAGGAAATCTCAGCTCTGATCAATAATCTCTCATTTTCCACAAACGTCCTGCAGTTACTGAGTTCAGTGTTTATCTGCTGCTAGCGTTATAAACTGAATATAAAATGAAATATACAGAAAGGCTCCTTTACAGATACAGTTAGGGAACAAGGGACGTCCACACTGGTGTCCTGTGAGAAACTAAATGTATTTATAAGATATATATATAGTCCTTATAATGGAAAAGGTCAGTTAAATTACTATATAATGAACATTTTTATGGATATATGGTCACCAAGGATACAAGTCATGTCAAAATAAAAGAGTTAAAACAAAGAAAATAGTTCCTTTTTGTAAAATAATAATTATTATATACTTCAGTTATATTATATTTATTGTTGGTTTTATATTTAATTTATGTCTATTTCATGAAAGAATGTGCACAGAGATGTTTATTGACTGATTGATGGTCGGCACAAAAAAGTTTTTAAAAACTCACAAAGATATAAAAGAAGGTAAACAACAACAACAACAACAACAACAACAAATGTGAGCAGAGTGAGGAGTTTCCGAGGCGCCCTGAAACGTTACTGATCAGTTAATAACTTTATAATCAATATATAACCGCTAACACTGTTAGCTCAACAGTGTTTACAACCGGGAGGAGCAGTATCGATTAGCTAGCAGGAAGCTAACTGTCCCAGCTAATCAACACATGCTAACGGCTACAGAAAGTTAGCCAACAGGCCAACAAGTTAGTTTGGACTCGGTGTTGTTGTTGTTGTTGTTGTTGTTGTTAGGGTTTGTGTAACTCACCCTGCGGTTGTCGCTGACTGTGTCCGCCCCCGTTAGTCCATGTCAGCGGGTCAATGTACCGTGGGAAGCTCCGGTGGGGACCTCCGGGGCGGGCGGTGACTGCGGGCTCCGCGTGGAGCTGAATGATCCTGATTCCTCAAACTAACCCCGCCGCAGCCCGGGAGCGGGGGGCGGGGCCGGAAGGCGGACTGGAACCATATAAGGAGATGCACCGCCCCGCTCGGTGCAGCAGGGGGCGGTAACGAGCAGTGGAGAGATTATTAGTTTATTATTAGAGCTTTAGACCTAAATCTGCACTGTAAAACCTGGTTTTAAGATTTATTAGTTTATTATTAGAGCTTTAGACCCAAATCTGCACTGTAAAACCTGGTTTTAAGATTTATTAGTTTATTATTAGAGCTTTAGACCTAAACCTGCACTGTAAAACCTGGTTTTAAGATTTATTAGTTTATTATTAGAGCTTTAGACCTAAATCTGCACTGTAAAACCTGGTTTTAAGATTTATTAGTTTATTATTAGAGCTTTAGACCTAAATCTGCACTGTAAAACCTGGTTTTAAGATTTATTAGTTTATTATTAAAGTTTTAGACCTAAATCTGCACTGTAAAACCTGGTTTTAAGATTTATTAGTTTATTATTAGAGTTTTAGACTTAAATCTGCACTGTAAAACCTGGTTTTAAGATTTATTAGTTTATTCTTCAGACTTACACACAACCGTTTTAAGATTTATTAGTTTATTATTAGAGCTTTAGACCTAACTCTGCACTTAAAACCTGGTTTAAGATAAATTTTTCATTTAACCCACATCGACGTTTTATTAAAGTAACACTAACTCAGTTTTTAAAGCTTTTACTAGTAATTTTAAGTAACACTGATGTTTATTTGTACTGTGGAAACAGTAACAACAATGTTTTTAACTTTTTTTTTTTAGTTACTGTTACTTAAAATCTTTGACGTAATCGGTTTCAACAATTTGTTTTATACTTAATATTGAATAACTTGAAGTGTTGTAGAAGAAGTATTTTATATAGGGGTGCACGATACGTCATTCCGATAAGTCCAAGATCATGACGAATAGCCCTGATAACATATATAACCTGTCAGCACAGTGCCCCACTCTCACTATGAGACCTGAACGCCCCGCAGTGAATGCTGCGTTCAAGTGACATTGGCATAATCAGAAAAACTCTTTCTGACTGGGAAAATTCAAGAATACCCCTCATGTAAAAAAAACTAACGTCATAAGGAGTTAACTCCGTCATAATTTTGGTAGTTGCTGACTTGAATTGATATCCACAGTATTTTTCCACATGTTACACATAAACAATAGAAACATGAACTTAACAAGGCCGAAAGAACGACTACCAAATGTGGGAACAGGGAATTTCCGTTACACAGTGAATGCAACACTAATAAACTTTTCAGTCTGTAATCCCGCTGCATGTATTTGCATCAGTTCAAGGGGCCTTTATTTTTTTGAGAGGCTTGCCAATAGTTTTTCATTGGAAAAATAAATAACATTTAAGTTTAAACATTTAAAAACAAAAGTGTTTTTGGGTTTGTTCATTGTATTAATGTCATGATCTTAGGTCATGATCATATATATTATGTATATGTGTGTGTGTGTTATCCGTTATCTGTATCGGTATCGGCCTTTAGGAGCTAAAAGTTATCGGTATCGGTTTAAAAAAAAGAGGTTATCATGCATCCCTAATTTTATACAAACAATTTAATTCAATTCTATTTGTTTGTTTGTTTCTATTTGTTTTGCAAACTCATGACTGATCACATTGTGTGGAGCATAAACAGAATATACAGTAATAAAGTGTGTATATATTTATAATACACTAAATAAAATAAATTCTCACAATAAACTGCTGTAATGACGTATTTGCAATGCATGATGGGTAATTATTAGGAATCAATTTTAATTTCACATTAAAATTACTGTAATTTTACATCAATATTATGAGTGGTTGCTATAGAAACACAATATATAACTGTAAAATAATTACGGTATGTTACTGTGAATTAACTGTAAACGTACAATAATATATTTTACAGGGAAAATCTATTTTTCTTTAAGTAAAAGCTTTTTCAAAAAGTACCAATATTTCCCTCTGAAATGCCCTGGAGTTGAACTACAACGTAGTATAAAGAAAAACATTTGAGTTAATTACAAGTAGCTCAAAATAATAATGTACTTAATAAGTTATAAGTTTAATAATATCTGTGTTTATTAAATATACACATAATTAACTGATTCTGCATCAAATTAAACCAAAATCTGAAATTGTTCTTTATTTCATGAAAACACACGTCATGTTTATATCATCTAATATTAAAATAAGTGAACCAGAGAGTAAAACACAAAACATTTTAAAAGTAAAATAGAACCAAAAACATGAACATGTTTACTTATTAGGCCAAATATAACTTTTGCATATGATTATGAAATCTTTTTTGTTGTTCATGTTCAAACAAGGGAAAATGTTGATTAACCAGACTCATTCTGTTCTTCCACTTCTACCAATACAATACAAAAGCAGACTTATGTGATATTAGATTATATAAAAGATTATATATTTCTTTTGTATTGATGCCTGGTTCCCACTTGGTGTCTTCAAAATTTCAAAATAAAAGGAAATTCCTCCTCACTCCTCCATTCTGTTTGTTTTCCCCCACAGGCCTTGAATGCATCAGTATTTGGGGGGCGTGGCCAACCTGACAAACAGTCAGGAAGGTGTTAAAGCAGCAGCAGGTTAAGAGTCTCCACCCTGCTGAGTTTCAGCAGCAGTGACACACGGTCGACCCTCCGCTCACCTGAACAGGTAAGAGAACCAGCAGCCTGACCTGGGCCTGAACTGGGACTGGACCAGTAACAGCTGCTGGTCTGTGCTCAGTGTGTGTTAAAGTGTGTGAGAAGCTTTAAAAGTTTTAAGAAGTTGTTGTGCAGCCTAAAGGTGGAGCGTGTGACAGCGTGTGACCCAGAATAAGGTGTGTTTGTGTGTTGTTTTCACGGCTTTATTCACCTTTAACTCTTAATAATTTACTCTTTTATTCCTAAATTCACATGTTGATGTTTCCAACATTAGACGTATTTAGTAAATTTAGTATTTTGTAAAATTTCCTCTAAATTCAGTCGATATATTTGGTGTTTTTGCAACTAACGACATCATCAGTTAATCTATCGACTATTTTCTGGATTAATCGATTAACTGTTGCTTCTTAAATCCGACCAGTAGATTTATTAAGACATATTAAAGGAAAGCAGCTACAAAGAGCTTTAGTGTTGATTCCGGCGCCCCCTGTGGACAGTTACAGCAGTTACAGACGTAGTTTAACGCTACAGGTCAAAAACAACAACAATGGCGGCTGCTAAAGAGGTTAGCGTAGCTGCTGTTAGCATCAGTGATACCAGAACTGTGGAGGCTTCAGTTATTTGGTTCTTTGATCTGATTGGTTGATGTTGATAGACGGTGAGAGATGGTTCATCCAATCAAACGTTTCCCCTTTTCCAAACTGTTTCCAATGACGACCAGATGGTTCTGGTAACAGGCTAATGTTTAATGTTGGCTTTATGTTTAAATATCCATATCTTATTTTTGATGTCTGAAGTCAGCCGGTGTTTAGGATTAACTAACGTCTCCGTGTTAATTGGTGACTGAAACAAGGAAGTTGTGGTGGATCATTCAGTTAGTGAGAGAGTCTCTTTCATTGGATAGGGGAACTGTTGCACACAGAGTGGCGTACCCCGCCACAATGGATAAAAAACTAAGTTAATGGGCACTTTGTGACGAGTAACTAAATAATAAGAGAATGAGGATTAAAGAAATATGAGTGAAATTACTGTTGAAAATAAACAAGAAGATGAAAAGAAGTACACAAGATGTATCCGGAGCTCTTCAGGCTCATTATATACTTAGTTTTTACCTAAAAGAGGTAACCTAACCCTAAACGAGTGGTTGTAATTCATCGTACAGAATATCTTCCTTTAGATTTGAACATTTTGTACAATATTTAAACAGAAGTAAACGTGAACATTATCACAGAATCTTATTTATGTTGAGTTGATGTTGAGATCAGAGTTCAAACAGCAGCAGCAACAAACACTATTAGCTTCTCTTCCAAACCGTCCTCCATTGTTTGTTGTTGTTTGTTCAGAAACCGTTGTGTGTTTGTGTCTGATTAACACAAACTCATCACTGCGAAGGAAGGCGGGGTCGCCTTCATGTACACAAACAGAGTTAAAGTATTTCCCCACAGTTTGTATTAAGTCAGCAGAAACGTCTCGAGGCTGAAGGTATAAAGTCATGAGTTGTGTAAAAGTCCCACTTCCTGTTCCTGTTTCCTCTGACTGACACTGCTGATGGACTCGTTGTTGTTGTTGTTGTTGTTGTTGTTGTTGTGGTACAGGATCATCATCTTCCTCCCACTTTAGAGAGGATTCAGTGATCAGACATCTTTATTCTTTCGTTACCAGAATAATGAGACTACTACCACTAATCCCTAAACACTGTGTCCTTAAAATGATCCTGTAAACGGGAAAGAAAGTTCTCACATTCTTGAGTTTTCATAGTTTTAGTGTCTGAATAACTTAAATTAGATGTTATAAACAGCGCTTGGCCACCAGTCTCCTGATTGGTCACATATTGGTGGTCAGACAGAGACTATATTATATTCCAGGTACAGGTACAGGTACCCTGTATTCCTGGAAGTTCACTGTGTTACTGAGCAGAGATAGTAATGTTATATTTCCTGTGTTACGTCACAGCGGTTTAAAATCTGAAACAACAAACTGAGACGACTCTCGACTCTTTGACCTAAAACCCTAACTTTAAGAGCTTCATCAACAGGAAGTGATTGTGTTGTTGTGCGTTCACAGCTCCTCCTGCAGACTCACACGTTCGTGGTTCATTTGAAGTAATCTAGTAAATGTGTTTCTGTGTGTGTGTGTGTGTGTGTGTGTGTGTGTGTGTGTGTGTGTGTGTGAAATCAGCTGTGTGAAGGCAGTGTTTGAACAGGAGTCGCTCTACTGGTCCCACCAGCTCCAGGCCAGGGAGGGGCTGAGAGGCCTGGAGCAACACAACTGTGTGTGTGTGTGTGTGTGTGTGTGTCTGTGCGTGTCTGTGCGTGTCTGTGTGTGTGTGTGTGTGTATGTGTGTGTGTGTCTGTGTGTGTGTGTGTGTGTGTGTGTGTCTGTGTGTGTGTGTTTCAACTAACCTGCCTTTAGCAAGTCGCTCATTTTCTTTATGGGCAGCGACCGTTGACACACAGACCTTTACTGCAGTCTGAAGGAATGTCTGTCCCGTGGCGCCGCAGTGGCGTGTTTGATGGACGTGTGCAGGTCGATTACAAGCTTCAGTTCTGTCACTCTCCTGATATCCAATCCATTGATTATGTGGTTTATAGATCACCAAGGATGGAGGAACACTGTAAAACCAGATACGGTAATTTAACTGAAAAAAAGATGTTGAAAGTGATTTTACATAGAAAGTTGTTTTGCAAGTTCAAAATATATTCTTCATCAAGTAACTTTAGTTATTTTAAGTGGCATTGACAAACCACCCAGTAAAAACTGCTTAACCAGTGTATGTATCAGGAAACATCTTTTTGAACTTAAAAATTGAGTTTGTGTTACTTAAAGTTTTCTATGTAATCTGTTTCAACTATTTTTGAGTTAAAATGTCTTATTGGATTACAGTGATATATTCAGTCTTTAGTTCAGTAAAAGTACTAATACCACGCTATAGAAATACTCCATTACAACTACAATTCAGAACAAAACTGGATTTATTTATTATTATGTTGCAGGGTAAGTGATGTAGTGAGTAAACTAAAATTTAAATATCTGTCATTAATTGGCATGAAAGCATCAGTGGAAGAAGTATTTTGAGTAATAATAATATAATGTTACTATCTGCAATGTTCCTATATTTTATTTGGACCGGTAGCCAACACCACGAAGCAACCGACACCAGACCCACAATGCAACGCCAAGACACAGACAGACAGACAACCCCAGCTTAGCTTAGCTACAGATAGCTAGCTGGATGCCCCTGCCTCACATCACTCTCCACTAGCAGAAAGCTATCGTTAGCTTTGTACCGTTACATCATTCATTGTTGGCTGAAATCAACACTATCCACTCACACAGTAACAAGCTATAGACTGAAGGTTTCTGCCAGGCTCAGATTGTTTCTCTCTCTCCGTCAGTCTCAGTGCTTCAGGTCTGAACACGCTCGCAGGCCTTCATCAGACCAGTTCAACCTGTCCGCATTCACTCTCTTTGACTTTGGAGAGAAATCTCTTCAAGTTCACCGACAGTTACAGCAGAGAGAAAGTTAATATCTGCTGCTGTGATTGTTGGTTGTGATCCTCTCCTGCAGATGGAGTTACACATACCTACAGTCCTGTGGTTCTGTGGCGTTTACCAGTTTCTGAGGACGGATTAAATCAGTTCACTGTCTCCAGGTATTTCTCCACCTACTCACCTGTTTGTGAACCAGCTCGGGGTGTCACACTGCGGCGTGAAGGGTCGCTGACTCACCGCGGTTTTAATGTCACAATGTGGCATGTCTGAGTGGAAAAAAACTGACAGGTCAGTGTGGAGGCTCTGTGGTTAGCACGGTTAAAGTCTGACTGGGTTCGAATCCCGACTGCGGCAGGGCCTTTTCTCTGTGGTTCCTATCAAAACCTGTGACAATAAAGTTTATTCTATTAGATTTGATGAATATGAGTGAATACCGTCTAATGTGTTACAGTTTATAGCTGATATCTGGAATAAAATCTGTTCTCTGACTTTTCACTGGAGTCAACTTGCTGTTTGCTTTTGGGATTTTTTTTTGCTTGACTGGCAGCTGTTTCCACCTCCTCCTGTTTTTGTGCAAATAAAAGAGAGGAAGCTTCTTTTTTCAGACCATCAGTGTAATAAACTCCAGTCGGATTAAAGGTGGATTCTGTATTCAGGTTTCTTTTTACATTCACCCAGACAGAAATTCAAAAAGTCTACTGCAGAATTGTTTCCTGAGTGTATATGTATATAAATAACTGTGTGTATATGTTTCTATGTGTAGCATGAAGAGACTGCGAACTATAATTATAAATATAACTTCATTGCCTTGTCGAGCCTATTGACCGCGCCGCCATATAATAGTTTTCTTTATTGCTGTGAAATACGTCGTTGTTATACTTTAATATACTGAAAACACACAAAGCGGTTCTTGTTTTCGAATATACAGTCTGAATGACTCCTCCCTCGTACAGTTAATACACTCAATTAATCATTTCTACTTATTGACTCATTTGACCTGTTTCAGAGGAGACTTCAGTTCCTGGAGTCAAACATAAAACAGCTCTTATAAAGACTGCGAGTGAACACAACATTGTGTTTCTGTTGACTCACATACTGTCACACAGCGCAGGTAAATATCTACACACACACACACAAAGCAGCCTAGAAGGTGTCCCCGGTGGTGTTTGTGCACCACTTTATGGCTGTAAACCAAACCCTGTCAGTTATCTCTCCCGTGTTTCTTGAACTAAAGGTCACATTTACAATCAGCCCTGTTGCTTCTCATCCTCCCTGAAGAAGATATTTAGGCTGAAAGTGATGATCTGTGATTTTATGCCTCTGTGCAGGTGACAGCTGAGGTCGGAGGCTTTATGTTTTCGGGTTGCTCATCAGTTACTGAGTTCACTGTTTGTCACTGAGTCAGTTTGTTAAATGATAGAAAAAGGTTGAGAACCAGCGGCCTATAAGAGTCCATCTTTACAGAGTGTGTAATGTATATTCAATGGAATCATACATATGTACCATCGATACAGTGATAACTTATATTTACACTTCACTCAATATATTATGAGTCTAGACAGACGTATTTAAACTGTTATAACTGGTGGGTGGAGACATTCAGCCTGCAGGGTTTATTTCATTCATTCATCCATTGTTGTCCAAAATCTATTAAATGAGCCACACTGTTGCTCTGGGTGACGTGTTCCTTCATCACCATGAACACACACACACACACACACACACACACACACACACACACATGTAGTTCAACTCAATCCCACATACACCGTCCAGCTACAAATAGTACAAATACTTGAGCACCAAATGTGGACTTGGACTTGAATGTGGTTCTTGGAGGCTCCGAGCTGAAAGCCGCAGACAGGAAGTCAGAAATAGATGGTTTTGGTGTGACTGAGATTTGTTTTTAAATGATTGAATAACTAAATTATCCTTTAAATTGCAGCGTGTTGCTCCTTTAAAAGCCGACAGTCACTGACTGTTGACACACCTGTTACCTGTGGGTGTGGTGTTAATCCCTGCTGGGCGTTGCCCCAACGTTCAGTGAAACTTTAAAAGAACAAAACAGATTAAGCAAAAGAAGAGACCGTACGGGTTCAGCTGGAGGACTGCAGTTCACTGATCAATAAATCAACACAGACGGAGCTTATAACTGTTACTGTTTGTTGTCTCCTCAGTCCAACCATGAGGTGGCGCCCTCCTCCTCTTCCTCTCGTCTTCCTCCTCTTCTCTTTCCTCTCCCTCTTCATCGGAGCAGCTTCAGGATTCAAGATCTGCGCCTACAATGTGCCGAACTTCAACCCCACGAAAGCATCGAACTACAGAGTGAGACACACTCTGACGAAGGTAGGACACACACACACACACACACACACACACACACAGGTTAATAGTTATTGGGGTATTGAGGGTCCTCAAAGCTCCCCTCTCTATCTAGCTTCTGTTTCACATGTTTCAATGTATTTTCTCTATGAAAGTCAATTTCTGCCAATGTGACTAAAAAAAGGATTCTGTAAATAACTATAATGACTAACTATAATTCTCAAAATAATTACTTAGTATCTTATAATAATTAATAAATAAAAGATTGTTGCCCTAAAATGTCTGTGTATGGCAGCTTTTCTAAAAAAGTGCATGTTGCAATGTTTATAGACATTTTGCAATGAAACTGTGGGAGAAAGTGAAAACTGTTGCAAAACTCGCTGGGAACTAAAATCGCTGGCAGAATAAAATCATACCTGTTTGCAGGGTACAATGTGAAAACTGTCAAACCATGACAGCAAAAGACTGTAATCTCAAAATAGGTTAAAGTTTCTGTGTGAGTAAGACACTGTGATATCTAATGGCAAAACCTTTATTTATAGGAAGGAATTTATACAGAATAAAGTAGATAGTTTTATATTGTCAACTAATACTACTAATTAGTCATAGTGTTCATATGTGTCTTTTGATGGTAAAAACTTGTATTTATATGGTAAAATATAGATTATAACTCAACATTACTGTTAATATTTATATCCTTTTAGTGTAATAGTTCTGCCAACCACAGTTTTTTTTCTGTAAGAATAACACGTTTGCTGTTGCTGTTTCCAAGAATGAACTTTGAACCTCAATTTTAATTTATTTACATTCAAAACCTGCATGTCCATTAATCCTAAAGATCCCCTCCAGAGATTACCAGTCAAAAGTTTGGACACACCTTCTCATTTAATGTTTTTTTCTTTATTTTCATGACTATTTACATTGAAGATTCTCACTGAAGACATCGAAACTATGAATGAATACATATGGAATTATGTAGTAAACAAAAAAGTGGGAAATAACTCAAAACATGTTTTATATTTTAGATTCTTCAAAATAGCCACCCTTTGCTTTGATTACTGCTTTGCAAACTCCTGGCATTCTCTCGATGAGCTTCATGAGGTAGTCACCTGAAATGGTTTTCCAACAGTCTTGAAGGACTTCCTAGGGATGCTGAGCACTTGTTGGCCCCTTTGCCTTCACTCTGCGGTCCATCTCATCCCAAACCATCTCGATTGGGTTTAGGCCAGGTGACTTTGGAGGCCAGATCATCTGGCGCAGCACTCCATCACTCTCCTTCTTGGTCAAATAGCCCTTACACAGCCTGGAGGTGTGTTTGGGGTCATTGTCCTGTTGAAAAATAAATGATGGTCCAACTAAATGCAAACCGGATGGGATGGCATGATGCTGCAGGATGCTGTGGTAGCCATGCTGGTTGAGTGTGCCTTCAATTCTGAATAAATCCCCAACAGTGTCACCAGCAAAGCACCCCCACACCATCACACCTCCTCCTCCATGCTTCACGGTGGGAACCATGCATGTAGAGACCATCCGTTCACCTTTTCTGCGTCGCACAAAGACATGGCGGGTGGAACCAAAGATCTCAAATTTGGACTCATCAGACCAAAGCACAGATTTCCACTGGTCTAATGTCCCTTCCCTGTGTTTCTTGGCCCAAACAAATCTCTTCTGCTTGTTGCTTTTCCTTAGTAGTGGTTTTTTAGCAGCTATTTGACCATAAAGGCCTGATACGTCTCCTCTGAACAGTTGATGTAGAGATGTGTCTGCTACTAGAACTCTGTGTGGCATTCATCTGGGCTCTAATCTGAGGTGCTGTTAACTTGCGATTTCTGAGGCTGGTGACTCGGATTAACTTATCCTCAGCAGCAGAGGCCGTCTTCCTCCGGGGGGTCCTCATGTGAGCCAGTGTCGTCGTAGCGCTTGATGGTTTTTGCTACTGCACTTGGGGACACATTCAAAGTTTTTGCAATTTTCCGGACTGACTGACCTTCAGTTCTTAAAGTAATGATGGACTGTCGTTTCTCTTTACTTAGCTGATTGGTTCTTTCCATAATATGAATTCTTACAGTTGTCAAATAGGGCTGTCAGCTGTGTACCAACCTGACTTCTGCACAACTGATGGTCCCAACCCCATTAAGAAGGCAAGAAATTCCACAAATGAACCCTGACAAGGCACACCTGTGAAGTGAAAACCATTTCAGGTGATTACATCATGAAGCTCATTGAGAGAAGGCCAAGGGTTTGCAGCGCTGTCAACGAAGCAAAGGGTGGCTACTTTGAAGAATCTAAAATATGAAACATATTTAGAGTTATTTCACACTTTTTTGTTTACTACATAATTCCATATGTCTTCATTCATAGTTTTGATGCCTTCAGTGAGAATCTACAATGGAAATAGTCATGAAAATAAAGAAAAACCATTAAATGAGAAGGTGTGTCCAAACTTTTGACTGGTAGTGTGTATATATCCAAGTATGACTGGAACAATAATGTGTGTCTAATATGTTTTTTCAACAAAAAAAAGTAACTAACTAAACTAACTAACTAAAAGTAAATAACTTCCACATTAAAATCCTTTAAAAAATCCTCAAACTCTGCACAGACATCATTCAAACATCACATTGCAGGAACAGGAAGAACAACTGATTTCTGACAGGAGGGACTTTAAACATTAATACACTGTGAAATAAGCTGTAGTCAATAAAGTGGTTTTCAGACAGACAATAAAAGGAATTAAATGTTGTTTATGTGCTCAAACTAATGCCTAAAATCTGTCTGTCTGTGCAGATCTTGTCTCGCTGTGATATCTCCCTCCTGCAGGGGGTGAAGGATTCTGATGGTAAAGCCATCCAACGTTTGCTGGCTTCTCTCAACAGGTACAGTGAAAACTACTGGAGCAGGTCACACTGTGTTCACTGACTCCTTTATTTTACAACCTTTGTGTTCTTTGCTGATAGTTAATAATCAGGTTATTAGCAGACTTTTCAATAATCTGCATCAATGAGTCTGTAAAACAAAACCATGCTCACATCTGTCCGAACTTGTATTGTTCTATCAGTATCATGCTTGTAGCTGATATTTATACATTTGATTTTGATTGATTTCAATAAGCCACAACAGAGTGAATCATTTTGTTTAGATGTTTTTAAACTGAAGGCAAGATGGGGCTCATTGCAGAATAAATCACAGCACAAAATATTTATGAGTGTTTTCTTTATTCAACAATTAACAAACTATTAAAAAAGGGATTTTAGATACAACATCAACTGTAACTCTCTTTCGATGAATGTACTCAGACAGTAATACTAACCGCATCATGTGTATTAATACAATGTGGTGATCATTACCTGTATGTGTCTGCTGTCTGCCTCCAACAGGAATTCTGACAGGTACAGTGAACATCATCTAATCATCATTAATGATCCCAATCACCTTCATTTACTCTCTTTACTAATCGGAATGCCTGTGATCAGGTGACACTGTATTTGGGATAGTCACTGTTACAGTAACTCTGCAACGGTCGCAATAGACTCAATTTCAACAGGTTTATCAATCAATTTGTTAAAATGTTAGACAACATTAACTTTTAAGAGTTTATGTGACTTATCTTAACCTAAACTTTAATCCTTGTAATATTATTTATGGTCTATTTTAAGGTTAAAGTAACAGCTCTGTGTATCTAGTACAGAGACATGGAATAGGGCTAGCCAAGCTTAGCATAAAGAATGTGGGGAAACTGCTAACCTAACCTCAATTATATTCTATAAAGCAAGACATCTTGTGTCTTGCGTGCATATCACAAAGCTGGGTGGATCACTGGCTGCAGTAGAAACATAGATTTGAGTGTGGTCAGCAAAATGTTAAAAATGTGTGTCTTATTTCTTGAAAATTGACGTAGATGCTGCATGTACGCATAGAAAACCAGTAGACCAAGTACTAAGCCTTGTGGGACGCCACATCGAGGAAAGTCAGAAGCTCAATTAAAGTGAAAAATTAGATCAGAGTTGACAGCAACAAATTGGTGAATGCAGTTTTGATAGATTTCTTTGGCGTTTGTGGATTAAAGGTGAGCAGTTTTGAGAAGAGGTGTAATACAAGCGGTTATAAATACTGTAGATATTGAGGATAAGTCACTTTTACTCTTACTGAACTACATTTATGTACTTTTACTGAGGTATAAATTTCAAAACAGTTTTCTAGTAGAGTGACATTTACTCCTGTTTGAAGATCTGAGTCACTCCATTTAATGATGGTGGTGTATATAACGCCATTTTCATACCCTAAATGGCCTAATTTAACCCCAGTGTTATTACTGGAACAAGGCTTTGCTTTGCTCAGCAGTTAGCTGCTTTTCTTTCTGGTGACGTCTAACAGGGAACATTTGTTTTTGCTCATTTTGTTTCTGTTTGTTTGTGAAGAACTAATTTACAGTCTCCAGCTAGCTGGTTATGCTAACTTACGAGCACTCGTCTTACAAATGCATGTCTGTTGGCGTCCGTGGGACCATTCTGAGGGTATAAACCACTGATTCACATGGTATTAAAAGCATGATTGCTGCCATTTGATTATATTATTAACCATCTAAATTTAGGTTGGTGTGCATGTGTGGATATACGGGAAACTTTTGTCAATCAGGTTACTTTAAAGGTCCAGTGTGTCACATTTAGGAGGATCTATTGACTTAAATGTAATTTAATATTCATAGGTATGTTTTCATTAGTGTACAATCAGAAAATAAGAATCATTGTGTGTTTGTTACCTTAGAATGAGACCTTTTTATCTACAGAGGGAGTGGGTCCTCTTCTGGCGGAGTCCGCCATGTTTCTACAGTAGCTCAAAATAGACAAACTAAACACTGACTCTAAATTGGGCTTTTTTTCTGCGAGTTTTGCACTTTCTTCTACACACTGTTACTATCTGTAACTTCACCACTAGATCCTACTCGCTGGTCATTGCAAAGGCTAGTATGGGCTGGTGGTACTCAGACCCTTTAAGTAAAAGTACAGCAATGTAAAAATACTCCATTACAAGTTAAAGTTATGCATTTAAAGTAAAAGAAATATTATATATATTACTAAAGTAATAGTAAAAGTACATGTAGTGCAGTAAAATGTGACTGATATCTGATTCTATGCGACATTATTAGATTATTAGTACTGAAGCCTCAATGTTAGAGCAGCACATTACTGTTGGAGCTTGTTTCAAATAGTTTATATACAGTAAGATAGTTTACTCCACTGGTTTTATTTTTGTATTTTGTATTATATATGTTTTAAGTGTAAATCATCAAACTTAAAGGTCCAGTGTGTAACATTTAGTGTATAATCACCTGAATATACGGCACGGGTCGCCTTTCATGGGGTCCGCCATGTTTTTAAAGTAGCCCAGAACAGACAAACCAAACACTGCTTCTAGATATAGGGCTGTTTGTGTTTTTAGCCAGGTTCCCGGCCACCGTAGTTTCACCGTAGGCTGGAAGGGTAGGGTGCAATATGCACCATTAGATGCCACTAAATCCTTCACACTTGACCTTTAAAGGTGGACTCAGTCATTCTGGAGAAATCCCCAGGTCATGAAATACAGACTTTGGGTTTTCTGTATTTGGGAGTTGTGTTGTTTTCCATTTACCATAACCCAAAGTATCGGTATTTGACGACCTGGGACTGAGACTCAGGCCCAGTTTTTGCATAAAACTGTCAACTTTTGTTGTGGATTGGCCTTTCGTTCGAAATTTTTGCCACCATCTGAAAGTGTTTGTTAATGTTTTCGATCCTGAACTGTCAGGATAAATCTGGGTGGGGAAAGTGAAATTAAAGAGCATTAATCACAACTAGTAAACCTCCAGCTTTAACTGTGAATCATCAACATATGAAAGATGGACGTCTCCACTTCCTCCCGCTCTACAAAAATGAAGCCAAAATATCTGGATACAGCTGCTGCCATCTTTCACCATTCGGAGACTGTGTAGTAATGATCTGATCCTCTCCAGTCAATTATGACGTAAAACCCCCTTTTTTATATCTTCAAATAACTAATTAAAACCCAACTCATAATAAAAATGAACTTCTGAACAAACATCAGTGATAAGAAACAAGAAACCTGTACTGCAGTCAGTCGGCGTGTTTTGGCTTCACTTTTGGAGAGCCGTCATGTCGTCCATCTTTATATGTGTTGATGGTGTGAACAGGCTGAGAGCCTTATCCTCAATGATAATCACCTGGACAGGTAAAGGTAAAATCCTTGTCTGTTTGCTGTACCGACTGCTGTCTTACTGCTGTGTTTGAGTAATCAAAGTTTCTCTTTGTTTGTGTGTTGTGTTGAGGTATGAGCACTACAAATACCAGTCAGTGTCCAGTAAGAGTCTGGGAAACTCCCCCAAAGACATGGAGCAGTATGTTTTCATCTACAGGTAAGAATACAGTGCTGGGATCCAAATTCTGCTCGTCCAGGGGGATTATTGACTGATATCAGCCTTCATTGTCTCCAACCAATCACTTACCAACATATCTGCCTCAATATAACGTCATTTGAAGACTCTGACAACCCGGTCTCACTGCCACTTGGTCTGTGGCCCTCCGCCTCAAAGGATGACGCTGTTAGTGTCCCGTTAGCGCCGCCAAAGTCAGGTGAAAGTTCTTTCTAATGGCCAGCAGGGGGCACCTCTAACTCTAGCTCTGTATTCAGCTTGTAAATGACTATTAGCTCAGTAAACAGTGTGCCATTACTGTAATTACACGGTTGGGTCACTGTGTCAAATTGGCTTAGAAGCCCTGCGCTCTTCCTGGGGGGCTTGGTACATAAATAATGCTAGAGGGTGGAGGACCACTGACCAAGTGGCAGTATTTAATTAGTGGGAATGTGTTGACACTGATACGCTTTATATCGTGATACCAGACCAGAATCAGTCAACTTGTGGGTGGATTCAAAGGTCTGGACTCTGGCAATGAAGACTGGATTACAGAACTAAGACAATCAATGAAAGTTGATCATATATTTTTGTCAAGAATTGTCCAATCCTTCCAGTTTGTCCAGACCTGAGTCAGTAGATCAAGTAAAATTCTTCCACTTTGGATTCTCATTCCTCTGCTGCTTCCAAATATGACTTCTCCCTCTGAACCTCCTCCGATCAGGAACGAGACGGTGAACGTGATGGGTCAGCATCAGTACCAGAAGCAGCAGTCCTTCGTCAGAGAGCCGTTCGCCGTCCATTTCAAAAGCAATAAAACTGGTCAGTGGACGCAGAACGCGCCTAAACAAGCTCATTGACATCAGGACGAGTGGACTGACCCTTTACCCTTCCTCCGTCTCTCCTTCCTGTTTGTCCTCTCCCCTTTCTGTCCTGCAGCAATCAAGTCGTTTATTCTGGTTCCCCTGCACAGTGAACCCCAACAGGCCGTCCAGGAGATCGACCGGCTCTACGACGTCTTTGAGGAAGTCAGCCAGAAATGGAACAACACGGTGAGGAAGTCGGATGTCATTGGAAGGAAGGGAGGTCCGGTGGAAGTGTTTCAGACTGAATATGAAGCAAATGTTCATCTTGTTTATGCTAATGGATTTATAATAAGCTATATGTTAGCTTCAGCCTCAGTCTGTTAGCATGAAAATGTGTTACTGATGTGTGTTTGTGTGTGTGTAGAACGTGATGTTTCTGGGAGATTTCCACGCCGGCTGTGCCTACGTGAACCGAGCCAACAGGAAAAACATCCGACTGTTCTCCAATACGACTTTCCACTGGCTGATCAGGGACAAAGTGGACACCACCGTCCCTGACTTGACCACCTGTGCTTATGACAGGTGAGTGTGTGAAATGTGAGGGAATGATGGGAGGAAACAAAGAAAGTGTTTGATGTTGTTGAATGTTTTTCACACTGTGTCCGTATATTCTGTGTGTGTTAGGATTGTGGTACACGGGGAGGGCTTCCTGAAGGCGATCAGTCCGTATTCTGCACAAGTGTTCAACTTTGGCAGAGAGTTCAAACTTCCCAAGAAGAGGGTATGTTTGTGTCCATTTTAGCTGCTGTATGAATAATAATGTCTGACTTTATCTCAACGACTGTCGGATGATCTGTGATTGTAAAACATTGTACAGACGTTCGTGTGATCCTCGAATTTCCTTCATCAGACATTCCCACCAATCAGCCAGCAGTGACTTATCCAGCTTCTCAAAGTCAAACACAGAAACTGTAGTTAAAGGTCCAGTGTGTCCGGCAGTAACGTTAGGCTGTAAACACGTTTTATTTCTGCTTTAAAGTTGGACATTTTAATATGAGGCCTTATGGAGGCTGACTCACTGCTGGAGCCAGCCTCTAGTGGCCGTTAGAGGAACTGCAGCCCCGGAGGTTAAATTAAATTCAGAATTTACATCGAAACAAGCGGATGGAAATGTGCTTTTTGTTTGACTCTGTGCTCTGCTGCTTCTGCCTGCCAGGTGCTGGAGTTGAGCAACCACCTGCCCGTGGAGGTACAACTAAAGAGCTCCGCCCCTCTGAGTCAGGCCACGCCCCTCCTGATCCTCCTCAGTGTCTGTGCGATCGTCCAGTCCTTCCTGTCCGCTCTGTGATCGGCTAACTAACTAGCTAATCTACATTAATTGTCGGCTTGCTAGAACATCTGGTAGCTGTTGTTTGCTCAACTGTTATTGGAGGACGGAGCCAAAAGGGGCGGGGCTTAGGAAGGGTCAGTTAAGGCCCAAAAGTGATGTTGAGTCAGTCGTCTGGTGCCATTTAAAAGAGGCCAAATACTTTATTTTATATTTTAACAGAAATAATGAGAAGGGATGACGATCGTCCTAATTGTGTAAATGAATGTGTTTATTAATTAATCCTGTATCAGTTTGTAATGAATGCACAAACTGTAGAGTGAACTTTAATAACAACACATGTTGTTACTTTAGAGGTGATGTTTCTTTTCTCTTTCATCTTCATCATCTTCCTCATCTGTTGTTCTTCCTGTCGCCGCCTCAGGTCACAAACTGATGTAAATAATATGTCAGAAAGACGTTTGTTGTTTGTGTGTGTTTAATATTCTGTAAAGGTTTTTAAAAATAAAATAAAAATGAAATTAAAATGCAGAAGATGTTCTCATTACACACACACACACACACACAGACACACACACACAGAGAGAGAGAGAGACACACACACACTCAGAGACACACACACACACACACACAAAACACACACACCACACACACCAAAACACACACACACCACACACACCACACACACACACAACACAAAAGAACACACACACACACACACACACACAAAGAGACACACACACACTCAACACACACACACACACACACACCCCAAACACACACACAAAAAAAAAACACACACACAAAAACACACACACAGACACACACACACACACACACACACACAGACACACACACACACACACACACACACACACACACACACACACACAGATCCAGTTGTCAGCAATATAAGTTTATTGATTAACTACACTCTGTTAAATACTGCAGTTAATATTTTACACATCTTATTTTTATATTTATAAACACACTTTAATGTTGATATATTAAACTTATATTACAATTGTAATATAATGCTCATATATTAATATATTATATATATTTAAAACGTAGTTAATGTTAATAAAACATTTAGTTTGCGTGACTTAAAATGTTTAATGTTTCAACAAACAATAGTTTTGTGATGTTTTGGCTCAAATCATCAATCGATCAACAGAAAACTATTTTAGTAATTATTTATTTATTTGTGTGTGAATCGATTAATCGTGTCAATAATTGTGTAAACAGTTTATTCCAGATGTTCACTCTGTTTCCGTCCTCCTCCACCAGAGGGCGCTGCTCTCAGGACAACTTATTCCACCAACGAAGGAGACACAGACCTCCTCACAGCAGAGATCGTCTGTTACTGTCAGGATGTTTCACTCCGAACTAAAACCAACACACTTTGGCCTCATTGCGGAGAAGTTTGCTGATTAAGTTCCTGGTTTGACTGAAAGCAGAGAAATTATGTGTGAATCAATTGAACACTTATGGAAGTTATGTTATGGCTCAAATCATCAATCGATCAACAGATATAGATAGATATTAAGAGATATAATTAAAACTGAATACATTTGTTGGACTCTGAAATAAAGAAAAGAAAGAATCTGAAAAATGTAAATAAGTTAATTTAACTCAAAATACTGTTGAGACTGATTATATCAAATATATTTAGTAAAACCAACTAAATTTTGTACGTTAAAAAAACATTTCTTGATCAAGAAGCTTTAGGAGCTTTTAGAAAGGAAAGAGGTTGGGAAGCAGTGATCTATGTGTTTGAGATTAAATCAGCGTATATTTCTGCCAGCACATTAATATTTCTTTAGAGACCCTCTGGGAATCAGACAGCTTGTCACTGATGGTCTTTTAGTCGCTGCTCTCAGATATATAACCATATTATTATTATTATATAATTAAAAACTGAAAACATTTAGCTTGCTGGATTCAACATAATATAACTTAAAATATGTAAATAAGTTGATTTAACTGTTGAAACTAATCACATTGAAAGTTTTAAGTAAAACCAACTTAATTTTGTGAGTTAAAAAACATTCTTGATCGAGTAGAAGTTAATTCAATGTTAACGACTTAATGTTACTTAAATCTTTTTAAAGTTATCAGTTTCCAAACTTTATTTTTAGTGATATATGTGATTAAACAGAGTATACCCCCCATTAAACACTTAGATCCGCCCCTGTGAATCCGGCGGATGTTTTCGGTCTCTGGAACCGGCGGCGGAGTGAGCCCTCCTCGCTGCCGCCCCCTCTCTGCTGGCTGCCTTTAGGAAACGTGGCCTTCCGGAGAGTCAGCAGCACCGCAGTGGATGAATGAGAGACACTCGGCTCCAGCTTCCACCTCCACCCGTCTGTCAGCCTCCACCAGCCCCGAAACCCCGAAACCCCGAAACCCCGTCTCTGAACAACCATGGCCGAGGTAGAACCAGTCCCGGTCCCGGTCCCGGAGGCCCTGAACGCCACCGACTCCAACGGTACCGAGGCGCTCAACGCTACGGCCAAATTCGTGGCCACCCCGGAGGGCACCGCGCTGGCTTACGGAAGCCTGGTGTTCATGGCGCTGCTGCCCATCTTCTTCGGGGCCCTGCGCTCCGTCACCTGCTCCAAATCTAAGGTGAGTTTCAGCGGCAGCTCCCCTCAACCGACCCCGGGGATGAGCTCTCTCTTCCAGCCTCCATTTCGCCGTTAGCCTCCGCCGGCTGCGGTTTTTAAATTTTTTTTTTTTGTTGCCAGGATGGCGAAGTCATCTCCCGCCTTACTCTGCGTCTGATTGGCTTACCGCTAACAACCAATCCCCACTCCCCATTCCTAAATCTAACCAATCAGAGCAATGACGTCTGTGAGTTCTGTCCAATCAGAGGCAGAGGGGGGCGGGGCATGACTTCGCCACCCTGGGGATAAAAAACAAATGGCTAGCTGGTTCAGCAAACGGCTTGCAAGGTGATTTTAAACCAGTTTTAAATAATAAACCTCAAACTAAAATAAAGAGGAAAGCCAATCGTTTAGTTAAATAAAGCTTTATGTGTATTACAGCGACTGATAAAGTTATAAAATAAGTGTTTCCGTTCAGAAATGAGGTCAAACTGACGATGTTAGCATTTAACGGTTGTTACAAAATAACAACAACACAGTGTTTACCTCCAGATGTACACACACACACACACACACACACACACACACACACACCCTCTGTTGGTTGGCTGCAGGCTCTATTCCCACTGTCTGCACTTTATGGTGGTTGGCGGGAAGCTGACTGCACTCAGGTGTTTTATTTACACCTGTTTCCGGTGTTTACCTGCTGTCAGACTGCTACCTGAGCGACACACACACCAGAGGATAGAGGAGCAGTGAGACAGCACCACGTGAGACAGACAGACAGAGAGTGAGACGTGTACAAGAGAGATTTATCTGATTTTCGTGCACATGCGCAGTTGAGCGTGTTATGAAGGTAAAACCAGCCACTGCAGAGAGGAAGCTCCTTGCTGCCAATGTGAGTCTGTCCGTCGTTATAATGAGAAACTTCATCAAAATACTGACTTTGTATCACAAAATCATTAATTTGAGATAATTAGTGAAATGATTATGAATGTTTCTGATTATAACAGAATCACCAGAGTGAGCGACTGTACTGTAGAGCCATTAGTCAACTATTAAATCAACTGCCAGTTATTTTAATAATTAATCAATAGTTGTGAGCCATGTTTTACATCCAAACACAGCTCACATTAAAAAAAAAAAAACCCACAAAAGACACAATACTCAAAACAAACACTGATAACAAAATGAGGTATCTACATTTCTATATCTGTGCTGTCTCACTTGAGCTGTCGTGTCCAATTAAAGTGTAAAAAAAAAAAAAAAAAGCACAATGACTGGAGTAAAAGTTAAAAACAGCACCTGGTTACTTTCCGTTAGGGCTGCACGATGTGGTAAAAACAGCTCATTTGGACGGATATTGATTCACAAATGGACAATCTGATGAGGTGAAATGTTTGCAGCTCTTCGTTATAATGCCGTCACACACATTTAACCTTCACCTAGACATTACAGCTCTCACTATTTGCATATTACGATTAACTGTGCAGCCCTGCTCTCCGTTCAGATGTGGTTTTTTTTTTTAAGGGGCATTTACAGCTGCGCTTATGAAAGTAACTCTGCTTCTCGTTCTGGGTTTTGCTGCGTCATCCATCACATCGTGGTCTAAAGACAGGTGGTTCCTTTGTTCCAGGAAACTGCAACCTGGCGTCTACAGCGAGGAACTCACGCTCTCCCCGACACTGAGCCCTCACAGTGGATGTAAAGGCTCAGAGACAGGCAGACGTACACTTTAAAATAGCACTCGAGTACATTTTTATTTATTTTATTTAACTCGTGTAATCTGTTACTTCCTGCCTCCTGCTCGCCACTCTTTACGAGCTGTCACTGCTGCTTCTCATTTCCTGCCAGTCACTCTTGTTTTTGAGTCGTCAGCCGAGCTCGGGGAGATTATCCATCACAGCAAACACACAGACGCTTTTATCCTCAGTTTACAGAGTTAAGTCCCGTCAGGCGGGAACAGGAAGTCGCTTCTTCCACTTTCACTTCATTTAAACAGAAACAACAAATGCAGAAATCAGGAATTGTAGAAATAATGTGATTTAAAAACAAAGGAACAACCTCTGAGCTGATGTTGATTGACAGGTTGTAGTATTATTATTATTATTATTATTATTAAATGACAGTCAAATGTTAATGTTTCACTATTTGATGATATTTTAAAGAGCCAGACGGTCCAGTGGTGGTTGGCAGTGATCATCAATAATCTAAATCCTACAGACCATCATCAGAATCAGCTTTGACCTTTTGAACTTTATGAGTAGGATGTCTGATAATCGATGAAGTTGGATGTTTCCGGGACCTTGTGCTCAGATTATGGACGATATACGATGTGATTAACTAACTGTGAATCTGTGTCATCGTCAATATCCTCACGTGGTCTGACTCGATAAAGCTGTCTGTCTCTCTCCAGCGTACAGACCTGTGACGGGACGACGGGGGAGCCCACAAAATAAAGTTAAACAGGATGTGTGGGAATAGCAGAGATTTCAAAATAAAGAGCAGGGTGATGAGCTGCCAAGAGACATTTTCAAAGTAAGAAGTGTATTTTAATAATGATCGTGTTAATATCGCGTATCGCAGTTATGTTGGTTAGATATTCGAGACATAAAATCCTCATATCGTTCCTCCCGAGCTCAGACTTTATGCACATTGTGGACATTTTGTTTCCCCTAAAATTAGATTAAAATAAACACATAAATAAATCGCCTTGCTTACAATATCACAATATATTGAACCTTGTGTATTGTGATACGTATCGCCAGACTCTGGCCTGTTCACCGCCCTATTTAAGAGTTAAAACGGATCTTAGAGGATAAAAACAGGTATCGGTCTGGGTTTGAATCCGGCTCCTGTTGCATGTCATCCTTCCTCTCTTTCTTCCTCTCTCTCTCTCTTTCTTCCTCTCTCAATTCTTC